AATAAACTGGTCCAGAGAGTCTGGAACATGGGGTGGCATGGGCAAGGGGCCTGGGGTCGGGTCCTGGCTTTTTGCAGAAGCTGCCTTGGCTAAGGACTTTGCCCCTCTGAGTCACAAGTTTTCTCCTCTGTCAAGTGGAAGTGACGGTGGTAGCATCTGCCTCCTCCCAGGGCCACTGTGAGAAGTGAAGGAGATAGAAGGGGATAGTGTGGTTGGTTGGTGCATGACGCATGAGCCCCCTTCCCCTTACCTGTCAGGGCATTCAGGAGAATCCAGAATATGCATGGTGCCTAAGACAAGGAGGTGCTGAGGGGAGGCAGGGGCTCTGGCATTCTCACAGAGCAGGTAACCTGAAACCTTCCAGCTTCAAACTCCTTTGAGATGCACAGATGAATTCACAGGAAATGAAGAGGGTGAGCTGGAGAGGAGATAAGCATGGTCTGTATAACCACTTCTATCAATTTTGTACTGGATGTCTTGCCGGTGCAAAAAGGCAAATAACAAAAATAAAAAGTATGAAGTTTAGAAAGTAAGAAATAAAATTGTCATTTTTCACAGATGACAGAAAATCCTGAAGAACCTACAGATAAATGATTAGAATTAATATGGGGATTTTAAAGGTCAGAATACAAAATTAACTGTATTATTATATGCCAGCAACAAATGATTAGAAAATTAAATTTGAAAAACAATCCAATTTACAATAGCATTAAAACACTTCAAATATCAGGGCGCCTGGGTGGCTCAGTCGTTAAGCGTCTGCCTTCGGCTCAGGTCACGATTCCAGGGTCCTGGGATTGAGTCCCACATCGGGCTCCCTGCTCTGTGGGAAGCCTGCTTCTCCCTCTCCCATTCCCTCTGCTTGCGTTGCCTCTCTTGCTGTGTCTCTCTCTGTCAAATAAATAAATAAAATCTTTATTAAAAAAAAACTTCAGGGCGCCTGGGTGGCTCAGTTGGTTAAGCGACTGCCTTCGGCTCAGGTCGTGATCCTGGAGTCCCAGGATTGAGTCCCGCATTGGGCTCCCTGCTCAGCGGGGAGTCTGCTTCTCCCTCTGACCTTCCTCCTTCTCATGCTCTCTGTCTCTCATTCTCTCTCTCTCAAATAAATAAATAAAATCTTTAAAAAAAAAAACTTCAAATATCTAGAAATATAGTTAAAGAAAGATGTACAAGATCTTTGCCCATGAAAATACATAATATTCTTGGCAGAGATTAAAGAAGACAAAAATAAATGAAAGAATAGACCATGTTCATTGATTGGAAGACCCAGTATTGTAAAGATGTCACCTGTCCAGATTGATCTATAAATTCTATACATTTCTCATCAAAAAACAAAGAGAAAACTGAAAAATGGTAGGATGAGTGTAGGCTGACGCTGAGGCTTCCCTTTTGGGGTGGTAGCAGGAATGAGGGTGTTAGCTGGTCTCTAACCAAGGGCTTGGGTTTTAATACCTTAAGGATACAGGAGATGATGCCCCTTATACTTTCCCCAGTTGGAACTTACACCCCAGCAGAAAGCCAGGACCTTTAAAAAGATATACTCTCAGTGAAAGTGGGGATTTAGAAAATATCCGTGCATCTACCAAAGAGAGAGCCTGTCTGTCTCAACTAGGTCTTGGGTGGTCTCCTTTTGAGAATTTGTGACCTGAGATGTGCCCCTTGGTTTTGTCGAAGGTTGTAATTCACACTACGCCCCTGGTTCCAGAATCCCTGAGCCAAGGTGTTGGTAATGATGCCTTGGCAGACACTGAGGGGAAGGAATTGCAAATGCTCTCTGGACCCTGGAGGGACCTGCTCGCAACCAGGCTGAATAAGATTCCCACAGATAGGGCGCCTGGGTGGCTCAGTTGGTTAAGATTCCCACAGATAAAGCCCCACTAAAGATGAGCTCACAATCTAACAATTACCAAACACATGAGGAAATAGTTCCCTGGGAGGGAGAGTCATCAGATGTCCCAGACAGCAGAAACAGCCCTCAAGAGTCTGAGATAATAGAAGACTGAGTAACAGATGAACATTGAAAAGATTTAAAATTATTAGAGACATAAAAGGCACAATAGAAAAGGACAGAACAGCATATGAAAGCAGAATGAGAATATAAGCAAAAGGAACAAACAAAGCTTTCCAAAACCAAAAATGTACTCGTTGAAATTAAAAGCTCATTGGAATTGGGAAGATTTGAATATGGAGTGGGTATTAAATTAATAATTAAGGAATCATTTTAATTTTATAAGGTGTGATAATGGTATTTTTGTTGGATAAGAAATATGTTCCTATTTTTTTTAATGCATACTGAAATATTTAGAGGTGTAATTTCATCATGTCTGGGGTTTGTTTTAAAGTATTTCAACATAGAGGGGAGCCTGAGTGGCTCAGTGGGTCAAGCGACCAACTCTTGGTTTCAACTCAGGTCATGATCTCAGGGTATGAGATGGAGCCCTGCCTTGAGCTCTGTGCTTAGCTCAGAGTCTGCTTGAGACTCTCTCTACCTCTCCTTCTGCCCCTCTCTCCTGGTCACACAAACACACACACACACACACACACACACACTCTAGCAAATAAATAAATAAATCTCTAAAAAATAATAAATGTAATAAATAAAACAAAATATTTCAACATAGATAAAATATATGGAATAAATATGACAGTGTTAATAATTGTTAAAACTAGATGTTGGGTAAATAGGACTCATTATACCAGTGGTTCTCAAACTTCAGTGTGAACAGTCACCTTTGCCAAACACAGATTATTGTATCTGACAAAGGACTTGTATCCAGAATATATAAAAATTTGATAACAAGAAAACAACCCAACTTAAAAATGGACAAAAACTTTGGATAGACACTTCACCAATGAAGATATGTATGGATGGCAAATAAGGAGAAGCATACGACATCATTAGTCATTAGGCAAGTGCACATTTAAAACCACAATAAGAGGGACGCCTGGCTGGCTTAGTCGGTGGAGCATGTGACTCTTGATCTCAGGGTTGTGAGTTCCAGCCCCACGCTGGGTGTAGAGTTTACTTAAAAAAAAAATCTTGGGGCGCCTGGGTGGCTCATTCATTAGGCATCTGCCTTCGGCTCAGGTCATGATCCCACAGTCCTGGGATCGAGCCCCGCATCGGGCTCCCTGCTCAGAGGGAAGCCTGCTTCTCCCTCTCCCACTCTCCCTGCTTGTGTTCCTTTTCTCACTTTGTCTCTCTGTCAAATAAATAAATAAAATCTTAAAAAAAATCTTAAAAAAAGCCACAATAAGAAACTTCTATATATCTATTAGAATGTCTAGAATTAAAAAAAAACCCTAACTAATATTGCCAAATGCTGGCGAGAATGTGAAGCATTCATCCATTACTGGGGGACATGCTCCCCTCTATGTTGCAGCCACTTTGAAAACCAGATGGGCAGTTTCTTACAAAGTTAACCTCTTCCTTACCATATGACCCAGAATCCCATTCCTGGATATTTACCTAGTGGAATGGAATGTGATGTTGAAACAAACACTTGTATGCAGATATTTATTACGGCTTCCTATGAAATCACCCCACACTGGAAAGAGTGGAAATGTCTTTCAACAGGTGAATGGCTAAGCACACAGTACATCATCCCTGCAATTGAACACCAGTCAGCAATAAAGTGGAACAGACTACTGATCCATGAAAAAACATGTGTGAATCTCAAATGATGATGCTAAATGAAAGAAACTAGACTCCAAAGCCCACACACTATGATTCTATTTATATGGCATTCTAGGGAAGCCAGAATTATTTAGAGAGAAAACAGACCATTGGTAGTTGGGGGTGGGGGTGAGGCAGGGACTGTCTACAGAGGGGCAGCAAGGGAGAATTTTGGGGGCGATGGAAATGTTCTAAATCCTGACTGTGGTGGTGGTCAGGACACATTTCCCAAAACCCAGAGAAAAGCACACCACAAAGAATTAATTTTAATGTCTATAAGATTTTAAAAATAGATGAAAATATAAGTTAGGGTAAAACACTAAAACATACGCACCTGCAGATTGCTGAACCCCACCCTCCAAGTTTCTAATTTACTCCGTCCTAGGTGGGGCCCAAGAATTTGCATTTCTGACAAGTGCCCAGATGATGCTGGGCTAGGGACCCTCCTTTGAGAACCTCTGCGTTGTACTAGTCTATTTTCCTTATGTTTGAAATCTGTGACAAACTTCTCCAAGCATTAAAAAGGCTAATGTTACTGCAAATGAGACATCCCCAAGAGAGACAGAAGTAGGAAATGTGATAGAGAGAGGTGATGGGTCGTGGGAGAGAAAAATGCAAAGTCCCAAGGAATATCCATTAAGCGTTTCGTAAGAGAGGGAAGGAAACAACACTTAAAGAAATAATAGGAGAGTGTTTTCTAGAATTAAAACTAAAGGAGACAGACTTATCTCTGGCTGCCTAGAATGTCTGAGAATATGAATTGTAAACCCTAAAGTTCAGTTCTCAAGAAGAAGCACTAACTGGGTCCGTTCAAGATTGAGTTCGCTCACGGTGGGCCCTGTCTCACATGTGCGGTGGGACCCGTGCGTGAGAGAGCTGCCTGTCCCAGCGGGCATGCAAGCACGCCCCGGGCAGTGGAGTCCGCAGACCTGCATTCTAATTCAAATTGCACAACTCCCCAGCTGTGTGCCTGGGGGCCTGAGTAGTCCCGCTGGGATCCTGAGCTCCTTTATTTGTACGGTGGAATAATCCTGCGCATAATTACATTGCGGAGATGGTTACCCACAGAACAGCTGTGAAGCTCCCTGTATATCATCGCTGTTCAGAAGGTTATTCAGCCCAAGGGCAGAGATGGAGCCTCTGGCGGGGGAGGTGTAGCGGGGGAGCCATGAGGATGCCCCAGTGGAGACTTGGTGGAGCTGGTGGCAGAAGGAACCCCCTCTTCCAGGCCACATCGGCAAACCAGAAGATTCCAAGGCTGAAAGGGTTCTCCTGCACTGAAATGAAAGTGCAACTCGGGGCTTTTTCTCTTTCTTGCCTGCAGACGATGGGCCTTACTCCAAAGGAGGCAAGGATGCGGGAGGGACGGACGTGGCCCTGGCATGCCGCAGACAGAGCATTCCAGGTAAGGAGCCTCCTCTCCTTCCTCCTTATCTGTCCGGGAGGCACGGAGAGCTCAGAGTCGGGGTCAGACGGCATTGGCTCTGCCGCTAACTCGCTCTGTGACCTTAGACTAGTCACTTAACTTCACTGATCCTCTGTAAAAGGGAGTGTAAAAGGGAGATGATCTTACTCAGCATTTTGTGGCCAGGTGCCCCATTTACCAAGTGTTGGTCTCAGTTGTATTGGAGCTGGGGGTCCGGAATTGCCCCATGCTGCCTGCTCACCCCCCATCTGTTGACAGAGGAGTTCCGTGGGGTCACCATGGTGGAGCTGATCAAGAAGGAAGGCAGCACGCTGGGCCTGACCATCTCCGGTGGCACCGACAAAGATGGGAAGCCCAGGGTCTCCAACCTGAGACCGGGGGGGCTCGCCGCCAGGTGAGGAGGGGGCTTGGTGGGGCAGTAGGAAAGGGCCAGGGGCCAGTGGAAAATGGACCAGGGCTGTAGGCAAAGCGATTAGGTGGGTGTTTCTAGGAGCACCCAAGTGCTTCTCGGAGGGAAGCGTCCAGTGGAGGCTGTAATTCTAGGCTCCAGCTTCTCTTCCCTTTACGTAAGGGGCTGACTTGGCCACAGCATCCCACTCTTGCCAGGCCCTCCAGAACTTTGCACGTGCAGTTACCTTCTCGGAAGGCCTGTTCCCCACTGGCAGACTCCTATTCACCCCCACCCCTACCCACACTGCCTCTGGGAGGCCCCCATTCCAGGGCAAGGCAGCTGCCCTGCTCTGCTCACACGGCCCTGGGTGCCACTTCTGGACACATTGCTCTGGATTTTCCTGTCATCTTACCTATGTGGCTCCCTTAGACCATGAATTCCATGAGACCTAGGGGTTAGCCTCTCTGGGCCTCATTCAGGGCAGGCGCTGGTAAGTGTCCGGTGGAACAGAACAGATTAGTAGTCAGAAGCCAGGGTGAGTGCTTTAGGAACTAGCAAAGGGGTAGATGATCTGGCCACTCTTGCAGGCTTCTTGGGGCTGATCAGAGCCTTCATCAGGAGGGTAACACCCCAGCAGGGGAAAATGCCAGGCCTGGGTGTCAGACAGGTCCAGGTTAGAACCCACGCTCTCTTACTAACTCGCTGTGTGACCCTGGATGATGTCTGACCTCTCTGAGCCACAGCTTCCCCATCGGTAAAATGGGGATTCAGAGATCAAAATGATTCAACAGAAGAGCGGGTGTGGATGCTGGCACTTGCCACCATGCATGTGCTCTGGCCTCCTTGCTCCCAGGAGTGACCTGCTGAACGTGGGCGACTATATTCGGTCAGTGAATGGGATCCATCTGACCAGGCTCCGCCATGATGAGATCATCACCCTGCTCAAGAATGTGGGCGAGCGCGTGGTGCTGGAGGTGGAGTATGAGCTGCCCCCGCCCGGTGGGTGCCCTTGGACTGGGAACTTTCTCCATTGCCTTAGTCGTGGGTAGATACAGCCATCTCCCCACCAGCACCTGGGTGGTGGGGTCCATGCCAGCTGGGGACCTGGGTGGGTGGGACCTGAGGATTGGCCACAAACATCTAAGCCACACCTAGGGACTTTGCCTACAATTGCAGTATGCTGTCACCAGGAGGTGGCAGGGCCCTGTTTATAAACCAGTGTCATTTTGTATATTTAGTGCTCAGATGCTTTTCCTTCAGGGGGGAAGGTTTGGGGAATGTTGGCTAAAAAAATTGTTCCCTGTCCTACTGCTCTCTCCACCCTACCAGCCTGCATTGAGTACAGTGGCCTAGGGTTTAGCCTAGGTCTGAATTTTCAAAGTTGGTCTAAAGTCTTAAGATTTGAATAACTAGAATTCAACCCTGGCCTGAGCCCATAGCCACGGACTCAAGTCTGAGTTCAGCAGAACTCTTGAAGTCTTACTTGTCCTACCTGTAAATGGGTGGGGGTGGGGGGAGTTTACCCTCCCTGTAATCTCTGTGACTGGTCACCCAGCTCTCCCGGAATGAGCTTTGGGGATGTCTGTGGCTTGGTGATGTGACTGAGGGACTCAAAGGAGCCCTCCATTTCTCCCCAGCCCCTGAGAACAACCCAGGGATCATCACAAAGACAGTGGACGTCTCCCTGTACAAGGAGGGCAATAGCTTTGGCTTTGTCCTCAGAGGTCAGTGTAAGAGAGTCACACTTGGGGTCAAGGGGAGGGAAGGAGGCTATTGCCTATTCCATGTGTGTTCTGTTTTGCTTTATATGGATAGATAGATTAATAGATAGATAGCTTCTTGCTTCTGACTTTAAAAAGTGAGGACCATTAAGTCAAATGTTAAATGGAAAAATTTGCCAAGAAATGAAGTGTGCATGATTGCTGGGAGTGAGATTGAGAATAAAGTTTAGAGCTGCCTTGGAACCAGGGCAAAAAGGAAAATAGGGTGGTGTCATAGGAAGGGAAGCAAACCATTTAAGAGAGAGAGGATTTCAGTCATGTCCCTACTTTCTGTCACACTCTGGGGATTTATAGTTGGAATTTTATAAGAGGGCCTGTGAATAGCAAGGACAGGTCCTCAAACAGATTTAATGAAGGGAGCCTGCTTAGGGCTGAGTCAGGTCCTCTAGGTGTCAGGGAAAGAGTGGGTAGATGACTGCCACCTCCTGTTGAATTCTGTCCAGGGGGTGCCCATGAAGATGTACACAAGACCCGCCCGCTTGTCCTGACCTACGTCCGGCCTGGTGGCCCCGCTGACAGGTGAGCCTGAGCCGGAGGAAGCTGGAGGAAGCCTTTCCCTGCCCTGATTATGCCCAGATCCCCTGTGAAGAAGGCAGACCAGAAGCCATTGTGCCCATTCTCCTGATGAGCAAACTGAGGCCCAAAGAGAGGATGCCCGTTGCCCCAGAGTCACTCAGAATTGTTGGTGGAACCAGGACTCCATCCCAAATGAGAGAGACCCCAAGCTCTTTCCTCCCTGGCATCCTACTGTCTCAGGGGTGGGGAGGGAAGCAAGCCTTGGTGTTATGTTGTTCTTCCCCCATCTGTGGAATGGGTCTGATTCTGCAGCTCCTAGGAGTTACCGTGAGAGATTTGGGGCACCGTGAGCAGTACCACCGTGGCCTCTGTCTTGCAGCCTCTGAGTCCTGGCTGTGCCATCCCGCCTGGTGCTGCCTGGGCTGAGCGGACAGGGCCAAAAGGAGAGAATGTGGGAGAGGAACATGTCCAGTTCCCAGCATCCGACCCCCTGACCTCCCCAGTGGGAGATTCTTGGCCATTTTAAGAGAAGCCTGGAACAGCCTCGTCAGAAGTCTAAACCCGTTCTTGGGACGGGGCCCTGTGACGAGCTATTCATAGAACCTCCCAGAATAGCTTTGGCCACCTGTTGGAACAAGCATTCCAGGGTGGGGATTTGACCCAAACCGAGGTGAACCCCTGCTTGGCCCTTCTCCGGGGGCCCCTGCCGAATTCGTTCCCAGGCGCATTTGTCACCGGGCCAGACTCGCTGCTGAGAAACCAGAGTGGGGGCAGTGAGAAGGGACCTCAAGATGGACAGCGCGAAGCCTCCAGGCCGCCCCACCCCTGGCGCTGTGTGGCCCTGGCAGGGCTGCTGTCCTTTCTGGGCCCTGGCAGTCCCCAGTGTCCCCGGGGCATCCCCACGCAGACATTCTTGGGTTGAGCTGGGGCTCTGACTGTATTAAGCATCGAGCAGGGTGGGAGATGTCAGAGCTGGTCCCAGCTCTGTTTGCATCCCCGCTTCATTGACTTAGCTGCTCCCCCAGAGCCTCCCCCATGTGCTCCTTCACTGCGCCACCCCTTCCTCCTTCACCCACTGCCTGCTCCTCTCCGTCCCCTGCCACCCCACCTTTCCCAGCGGCCTCTCGGCCTCTCACCAGGGCTGTGGCTGGTGCTCGTGCGGGGCCGGGCTGGCTGACCGCGCCCTTCCCTGCAGGGAGGGCTCCTTGAAGGTGGGGGACAGGCTGCTCAGCGTTGACGGGATCCCGCTGCACGGGGCCAGCCATGCCACTGCCCTGGCCACGCTACGGCAATGCAGCCACAAGGCGCTCTTCCAGGTGGAGTACGACGTGGCCATCCCAGGTGAGTTGGGGGCCCGAGGACTTGGGTTGGGGCAGGACGAGACCCAGGGCTTGAGGGAGGGGGTAGCGGGCACAGATCCTCACCACTGCAAAGGCGGTGTGACCTGGGGCCAGTCACCTAGCCTCTCTGAGCCTCTCTGGGCAGTAAGCGCTATGTGCCAGTTGACTGTTGGAGGCCCTGGGGAACCAGGTGAGAACGATACAGACGAGATCTCGGTTCTAATGGAGCTCACCGTCTGGTGGGGAGAGAGGGACAGTAAACAGAATAAATCAAATACAGAGGCTGTCAGATGGCAGTAAGTGCTGTTGGGGAAAAAAAAATGAGGGAGGGAAGGGAAAGGCTGGGGGAGAGAGAGGTGATGGGGGCCCCACCAGGCTGGTTGCCGAGGAAGTACAGAAGGGTCGCATTCAGGAAATGATGAAAGTCAATGGGGTCTGATTTGCTGACATGTGGACCCGGTGGCAGGGGTTGGGGGGGTGAGGGCGGGCAAGAGCAGAAAGAGCTAGGTTTTGCTCTCAAGCCACCAGGTGTGTTCCTGGGGGTGTGGTTTCTGAGTGCAGAAAGGTGGTAGCGAACATGCAGCTCGGGGCCGGCGAACTGCAGGCTCTCCAAAACTGTGAGCATGTTAGTGTCGTCCGGCAGAGCCCTGGGGTCAGAGTCCCTCAGAGCCGAATCCCTGTCCCGCCTCTGCTGCTGAGGACTTGTGTGAACTTGGACAAGGCCTTTGCCTCCACATGCCTCAGCTTTCTGATCTGTAAAATGGGTGCAACAGTCCCTCCCCAGCAGTGAGGATAATACCGAGCTAGCAGAGTGAGGCTAGGAGGCAAGTGCTCAGTATTTGCATTTCAAACCCTTCTGTCCTTCCTTGTGCCAGATACGGTGGCCAGTGCTTCGGGGCCCTTGGTGGTGGAGATAACCAAGATGCCTGGGTCAGCCCTGGGGATCTCACTCACCACTGGCTCCCAGCGGAACAAGCCAGTCATCACCATTGACCGCATCAAGCCGGCCAGCGTGGTGGACAGGTGAGGCACACACTGGGTGCCGCCACCATAGTGGGCAGGGATACAGGGGGAGAGGCAGCCCAGAGCTCCCTCTGGCTGGACCAGCCTCTCCCTTCACTCTCCCGCCTGGCCAGGAGTGGGGCCCTGCATGCTGGAGACCACATCCTGTCCATCGACGGTACCAGCACGGAACACTGCTCGCTGCTTGAGGCCTCCAAGCTCCTGGCCAGTGTGGTGGAGAGAGTGCGGCTGGAGATCCTGCCTGCACCCCAAAGTCGGCGGCCCCTGAAGCCCTCAGAGGCAGGTGGGTCCCCTTGGAAGGTCTCAGGACCCAAACCTGACAGCTGATGGGGAGGGGTGCACGAGGTCCCAGAGGCCTGGGACCGAAGCCCTGGGCAGACTAAAATGTATTAGAACAAATGTCCATTCCTGTTGGGAAGCTCAGATTGTCAAGTGCAGCAGCTGAGGGTGGGGAGGTGGGGCAGAGGAACAGCCTGAATGTTTGAGTTGACAGTCTGCTGGTGTGGATGCCCCAGAGCTAGCGCCATCACTCTTTGCTAAGTTAATAGAAGTATAAGGGCTAGCTCGAGGGAGAGGACAGTCCTGTGCTCAGAGCTTAGATCTGGGGCTCAGCTCCGGGGTCCTCAGCAGGTCCAGAGGAGGCAGCCAGGGAATCAGGAAGGCCTAAGGCCCCCCCTACCTTTTGAGGAGTTGGGGTCTCCCAGACCAGAGCAGGGAGCTGGGGGCTAGGCAGTCTAAGAGCAGAGGAAGCCGGTGATCTAAGAGACCAGAGGGCAGAGCCGAACCCGGGGCAGGGTGGTCACAAGGAGGCAGCTTCCCGCTCAGAGCCTGGAAGTGCGTCCAACATTCCAAACCTTGGGCTTTGGGTACAAATGCCAGCCCTGCCCCAGCTGAACAGGTGCTTTATGCCTCTGAGCCTCAGTTGCCTCATCTGTAGATGGGAGCGCAGCCTTGGGAGGGGTCAAACAAGGTAGAGGACAGAGCACAGCCCAGGACTGTGGTCTGGGTGGTCAGGCTGTGAATTCCAGCCCTCGGGACACCGTGTATGGGCAAGGATGGAGTCAGTCCACCCCATCCTTTGCAAGCCTAATTGATCATCTGGGAGAGAAAGATATCCCCCAAATAAAATGTGGGAGACAGGCCTTGGGGACGGTCCGTCTCCGTGGCTCTGTGCAGACACATCTCTGCCGGGGTCTGCAGAGGCCCCATCAAGCCACAGCCAGGGCCTGCCACAGGAGGCTTTGGGGCTTGAACTCGAGTGACTCATTCTCGCACCATTTACAACACACCTGCCGTGAGCTGGGCTCAATGCTGGGGCTTCCCATGGGTCACCTCTTTTCATCCTCGTGACAAGTCTGTGAGGGCGGTTTTGCTGTTACCCCACTTGACAGAGGCGACTGAGGCTCAGAGAAGCACAGTGCCTTATGAGGGCACAGGGCTGCGACAGTCTTCCTGGCCCCCATTAAGTGGCCTCAGCTAGGTGCCAGGCACTGCTCGAGGCACATCCTACATCTTAACTCACCCAGATCCTTCCCATTATCCGAGGAGGCAGCCATTATCTTAGTCCCATTACACAGATCATGACAGTGAGGCACAGAGGGGCCAAGGGACCTATCTCAGGGACCAGGCAGCTGGCTCCCAGGCTGGCCAAGCCCCTCAATCCATCTATGGATACGCTGCACCAGCCTGGACCCCTCAAAAGCCCCGAAGCTGAAGGAAGAGCTAAGACGAGACCTGGGGAGCCTGGGAGAAGGTGTTGCATGGCAGGTGGTTGGGAGGATCAGGTGGGGCAGGTGGGGGAGGCAGGATCTCTGGGTCCCGCGGGAAGGGGATGGAGAAGGAGCGCAGAGAATTCATCTGGGCGGAAACCGTGTGAAAGCTTGGAGGGGAGGAAGCCAGAGCAGCCTGTCTGCAGCGTAGGTCTGAGCAAACTTCGGCCAAGCCCACAGGGGCCCTGGAGCATAGGTTGCCCCGAGGGCCCCGCGGGGGGCAGGGGGCAGAACCGGCCAAGCCCTAGTGCCCCCGGTGCTTGACCCCTGGCCCCTGTGGCCAAGGCTGCCCAGGCCACAGCACTACTGCAGATCCTGAAGGTGCAGGGGCCCTATGCCCTCTGCCAACTGCACTGCTCAAAGCTGATGCGCCGGGTCTCAGGCCGGGGCTACTTTCCCTCCCGTCCCTGCTGCTGCTTGGCTGAGCACTGAGCACAGTGCCTGGCACATAGTGGGCGTCCGGGACACGCAAGCAGCATCTGAATGCCTGGCTTGGCTTGGCTTGGGGGAAACTCAGGCTGTCTGGTCCTGCTTTCCTCACTTCATCTCGCAGATGGGAGCGTGGCTCCAGGGGGCCGTGCTGAGTCCCGACTCGCTCAGTCTCTAACGCCTGCACTTCTCTCTCCTCTTCCTTGGGCCACAGTGAAGGTGCAGAGGAGTGATCAACCACACCGCTGGGACCCCTGCGTGCTCTCCTGTCACAGCCCCCGGCCCGGCCACTGCAGGACGCCCACCTGGGCCACACCTGCTGGCCAGGACCAGAGCCGATGTAATGTGTCCACCTCACTGTGGCTTGTGCATGTTTCATAGGGGAGGAAACCAAGACTCCGAGAAATTAGGAAGTCTGCCCAGCATTACCTAGCACATTAGTGATGAGATGGGCCCCTATCCCTGGCAGCTGTGTTTCACCATATCTGTGAAAACCCCGCGGTCTTTGAGGCCCAGAGCGGGCGAGACCTGTCTGAGGTCACACAGCCAGTGTTTGAGGTGAAAGGGGGAAGGCGTCCCAGTGTCTCTCTGCGTCCCAGTGTCTCTCTTCCGTGGGGTGGTTGCCTGGCACCCACTGTGTGGCAGGGTGGGGGACCCTTCTGGGGTTCACGGGGCTGTGCTCTCATCTCCCCAGCCTTGTCCTCGACTCCCTTTTCCTCGCCGACCATGAATCATGCCTTTCCCTGCACCAATCCCAGCACCCTTCCCCGTGGATCCCACCCCATGAGCCCCCGGACTACAATGGGGCGGAGGAGGCAGCGAAGAAGGGAACACAAGAGCACATGTAAGTAAGCCATGGTCTCTTCCCTCCTCTTTGGGCTGCCTGTATGGCTGAGAGATTTGCCAAAGGATGGGGGTATTTGGGACAGGGTCCCAGGTGTGTGTAGGCTCATTAAATAGCATGAGTGGCCCACCAGGCTGCCATGGACGGTTGGGCAGGTTGTGTGCTGCACAAGGATGCACCTGAGGGGTGTCAGTCACTTTGTACATTTTAGTCTTATATTTTGATTGTGGAAAATTCCCAGCAGGTGATGACACAGTGTCTCAGGAAAGGATACCTTTTCAGATGTGCATAAACGTTTCACAGTAACTCCATTTCATTTTCTTTCATTCTGTGATTCATTCTGATGCATTCAAAGAGAAAGTCTGAGTGTGGTGTAGCTGTGTCTGTACCACTTCTCTGACATTTTTTAATTTCCCCTAAAACAAAGACACATAGGCCTGAGACTAGCCATCCAGGATGTAATAGTTTATAATAATTTTCACTTTTATTATATATATCTCATATATATAGTGTATATATGAACATGTATATATACACTACACTCGTGTATATATACACACATACACATACACACATATATTTCTACTTCCCTTTTGTTTATAGGCATTTCTCTTTATTTATGATCACTATGTCTATAATACCCTTTTGAAATGAAGGTATTTAAGAATTTTAAAAAGTGAATAAATGGAAAGACAAATAGTAGTGAATGATAATGTGGAGGTAGCAAAAGTCACGAGAATGCCAAGAATTTTGAAGTCTCCTGGGAAAAGTCCTTCCTTTGCTGATGTAGAGAGTCTATCCAGCTTTCTGCCATGTGAACTGCAGAGGCCTCCAGGAAGGATGAAAGGTCAAACTGGGCCATTTGGAATTGAGCCAAAAGAGGGAAACGAGGAGTACAAATCACCTGGCACCTGAAATATGGTCATGAGCTTCCTGGAAGCCAAGGTGAAAAGAGAAACAGATTTCAGAGTCAGATGAGAGGTAAAATATGCCTTTACCAACCACCTTTGTCAACCACCAAACCTGGGAGTGTGTAGGTGAAAAGATTCAGAAATGCTGTTCATAGGCAGGGGCATGTGGAGGCTGGGGGCTCTCGGGACCACTTATCTGTCCTTTTCCTAAGATGGATGACTAATAAAATGTTATCATTATTATTGTTGATGATAATTATTTAACTGAACAATTTGAACACCTCCTATGTACCAGGCACCATTCTTATTATTAGGGATGTAATTGTGAAAATATAATAAATATAAATACAATAATGCAACATATGCAACAATATAATATATCATGTGTATTGTAATGTGTAATATAAATATAACAAAATAGTAATAAAGATATAATAGTTTAATATAATTAGCAGTAGAATTAAATATGATAATAAATTATATTTAATAAATGATATCCAATGTCCATGTTAATAATACAAGTGTATTTTATATATGGAATATAAAATGATATACATTAAGTAACATATCAAATAGTTAGAAAGTTTTCATATGACCCAGCAATTCCATATCTAGGTATATGCCCAGGAGAAATGAAAACATATGTCATGTTCACCCAAAAACTTACACATGAATATTCTTAGTGGCATTATTCATTTTCGCCAAAAGGTGGAAACAACCCAGATGTCCATTAAGAGATGAATGCATAAATAAAATGTGGTGTATTCATAGAATGGGATATTATCTGGCCATAAAAAGGTACGAATTCAGAGACATGCTACAATATGGAGAAACCTTGAAACATTATGCTTAGTGAGAGAAGCCAGACACAGAAGGCCACAGATTATAGGATTCCATTTATGTGGAATGCCCAGAAGAGGCAAATCTACACAGAAGCAAATAGGTTAGTGGTTGCTTAGGGCCAGGAGAGATGGGAGGATTTGGGGCAATAGCTAAAGGGACCAGGGTTTCTTTTTTGAGGTGATGAAAGTGTTCTACAATCGATTGTGCTGATGGTTGCACAACATTGTTAATATACTAAAAAACCACTGACGTGTTCACTTTAAAAATAGGTAAATTGTATCTCAATAAAGCTGTCACCAAAATTAGCATACTATGTGGTATTATGAGAGCGTTCTGACAAAGCTAACATCACGTACCAGCACAACCCTCAGAAGCTCTGTTTACAACATGGCAGTCCCAGGAGCTGGTTTCCTTCATCCTTGTCACGGCCCTGCTGGGTGGGACTCAACCGCGGGCCAGACGGGGAGAGCACGGCTCAGAGTGCACTCTGACTCTGCACTCTGCAGGGCGAGGCAGGGCTCCCACCCACTCGCCCCTCTGACTCTAGGTCCTTGGGCCTGGGCGTGGGTTGGTGCTGGCAGGAAGGGCTCTCTGGGACTGTCCACCTGAGAGCCGTGCCCGCCTGTCCCGCAGTGTCACTGGCCTCCAGCACGGTGGGGCCTGGGGGACAGATCGTGCACACGGAGACCACAGAGGTCGTGCTCTGCGGAGACCCCCTCAGCGGCTTTGGCCTCCAGCTCCAGGGAGGCATCTTCGCCACCGAGACCCTGTCCTCCCCGCCCCTCGTGCGCTTCATCGAGCCCGACAGCCCGGCAGAGAGGTGAGCCAACTGCCCCCGCCCCCTGGGCCTGCCACTCTCCAATTCAGGGGGCTCACAGACAGCCAGGGAAACTGAGTCACATGCCAAGCCTGGCTTCACGAGGGTCTCTCACCTAACCATCCCATCCACTCCATCATCAGCCCCACTTTACAGATAAGGAAACTGAGGCACAGAGATGCTGATTCATTTGCTCAGGGTCACACAGCTCATGAGTGACCCAGGACTTGAACCCCTGTCTGTCTGAAGTCAGCGTTCTCTATACACACATCTCGTAAGGCACAGTGTCACCCCCCCTTGGACAGACAGAGAAACCGAGGCCCAGCGGGTTTACCCCCTTAGCCAGAGTCACGGGGTTAGTTGCCTGAGGCTCTAGAGCCGGCCCAGGGCTGAGCTGTGAGTCAGACCCAGGCCTGCCCACACATGGCATTCCTGTGCCCCAGGAATAGCCGTGATGGTAACGGAGCTGCTTCTTTCTGTGGGGCTGGGTTCAGGTGTGGGCTGCTGCAGGTCGGGGATCGGGTCCTATCCATCAACGGGATTGCCACCGAGGACGGGACGATGGAGGAAGCCAACCAGCTGCTGCGGGACGCGGCGCTGGCCCACAAGGTCGTGTTGGAGGTTGAGTTTGATGTGGCAGGTAAGTGAGTGTCCCTACCTACCTCCTCATGCGTTGGGACCCTGTGCTCCCTCCTCTCTTTATCCTGCTCCTGCCCGGGGCACATGCTCTTCCAGCCCCATCCCACTCCCCGCCTGGTGACCCTCTGCCAGAGCATTTGCGGTGTGTACCTGAGGACTAGTGGTGGCAGGGAAGGCGCTGGCGGGGGAGGCAGGAATCCCACACGCCAGTCTGAGGGTTGATGAGGGATTTTTGTGCCAAAACAGGACCTAAGGGAGGGCAGAGGGGGGCTGAAAATATCCCATGCCCCTCGGCAGGCCTTAGGTAAAGAACCCCAAACACAAACTCAGGTTAGAACTCTGGTCCTGTGATTTGGACATTCTGTGACTTTGGACAGGACTTTCTTGCCCACCACCATCCTCAGTTTCCCCAGCCGTGAAATACTGAATAGAGTCCTTCTACTACAGTGGATATTGTTTGAGTTAGATGAGATCAGTCGTGGGAAAACACCCAGCTAACGCCTGGCACATAGTAGGTGCTTAGTAAATTGTTGTTGGATCTGAACTGGGTTGGGTTTGCCTCTGAGGAACCCCTGGATGGCAGTCATGGGGTCTGGGTGCCCGCCCCAAATCTGCTCTGACCAGATTGATTGTCTGAGACGGATGTCAGCTCACCATGCCTCGGTTTCCTCCTCTGTCAGGATAGGGTTGGGATGGTGACTTCGCATTCTCTCCCAGCTGGCCTAGAATGGGTGGGGAGCTGGGACTCCCTGCATCTCCTCCCTTGGGTCTCACACACGTCCACGTGTGTTTGCATGCAGAGTCCGTCATCCCGAGCAGTGGCACCTTCCACGTGAAGCTGCCCAAGAGGCGAGGCGTGGAGCTGGGCATCACCATTGGCTGTGAGTCCCTCCCCGCGGTCCAGTCCCCACCCCCAGCGAGCCACACCTCCAGCCTGGAGGAGGGGGATGCTCCTGGTGCAGTCCCTTCCTACCCCAGACTCCACAGTCAATGGAGGTGGGAGTTTAAGCAATCTGGGAGGGGAGAAGCTGCTCCTAGCCCAGGAAACTCCGGATAGGGCTGCCAGGTACAGTTGCACAAGTTGTACATGACACGAGGGTGCCCATCTGAGGTAGACTTACCATTTTATTACATCATTTCCTCAATGGACTAATTGAAAGGGGCGCCCTTGTCTTATCTGCAAAGATGCCACATGGGCTAGAAAGGGCTCCTACCATCTGGTCACTAATGGGAAAACCCATTAGCTCAGATGGACTTTTTTTGCAAGAAAATGTAGCTACTCATGTAGCACCCATTGTCTTAGGTCACATTCCCCCAGAAAGAGCTTCTTAGACAAAGTTACATTCGGGGGGGTTTTACTGAGAAGGGCCCTTGGAATCAACACCTGTGCCAGGTGAGGGACGTGGGACTGGGTGGACGGAGAAGCTGGTTGTGATGCAGCCAGTCCCACGGAGAGCTCTAGGGCCAGGAAGGCTTCGGAAGTTGCCGTGAATGAGGCTGGGAGCCAGGCCTTTGCACCACTGCGTGGACCAGGCCACACCCAGGAGCTGTACAGCCTTGGGTGAGGCCGTTCTCTCAGCCAAAGGTAATTCCCAGAGAGGGAGCCCCCAGGAGCCATTCAGCCAGCACTCCCGGCAGCTGGGAGAAGGGAAAACTCAACTGTGGATGGGTCGCCTAGTTCTGGGGCCCACCCTGTGCTAGGTGGGGGTGCTAGCCAGACACAGCCCCTGAAGGGGCTCACAGTTTGCTGGGGGATGGGCTGAGCAGAAGGGCAAAGGGCTGATGTGGACTGAGCACCTACTATGTGCCGGGATCCACGTTAGGTTTTGCCTTGTCTAGTTTAATCTCGTGACAGCTCCATGAGTTCTGTGGTGCCATCCCCATTTTGCAGTGTTCCCGGGAAAGTGAGGCAGAAGGGGGGCTGATTTACTCGTGGTCACCAGGCAGGAAGCAGTGAGAGCAGGGCATGTGGCTCAGCATTCATGCCCCAACTCCTGGGCCCTCCCAGCCCCCCTCCTCGAGGCTGAGGCCATCAAAGGTTGGATTCATGGCTTCTTTCCCCCCAGCGACCAGCAGGAAGCGAGGAGAGCCCCTGATCATCTCTGACATCAAGAAGGGCAGTGTGGCACACAGGTAGGGATGGCCCTGGACACAGGGTAAGGGGAGCCGTCCATGGGGAGTGACATGTGCCAGGCTCTTTGTGTCCCCCACCCCTGCTCCTGCAGGACCGGCACCCTCGAGCCAGGCGACAAGCTGCTGGCCATCGACAACATCCGCTTGGACAACTGCCCCATGGAGGACGCTGTGCAGATCCTGCAGCAGTGCGAGGACCTGGTGAAGCTGAAGATCCGGAAGGATGAGGACAACTCTGGTATGGCCCTCACCCGGCCCTGCCACCTCTCTCGGTCCCCCCACAGGATCAGCAGTTTCCAGCTTGCAATTCGGGGCTCCCTCTGGCCGAGGAGGGAGGGTGGCAGGCTGCTGGTGGAGACTCCTTGAATGAGCAAATGCAGGGAGGCAGCCCCGCGCTCGGATGTCTCCTGGTCCCCGGGGCTGCCTGGATCCTCCATGGCCAGCACAACGCCTAGCAGAGGAGGCCCACAGGGGGCAGCAGTGAGCAGAGGGGTTGGTGGGGCAGGGATGCTGCAGGGGGATACATGCTGCGTGGGTGATGTGTGAGTGAAGAAGTAAAGGCTGCCAACTCTGACACCTCTGAGGCCAGACAGGTGACAGAAGTGAGTGACCTGGACAGAAGGTAAGAAAAAATGATGCAGGTTGGGGAGGCAGAAGGGAGAGGCTCGTGAGGCTTGTGGCCCCTGGAGAGCCAATCCCTTATTCAGAGGGGCAGCTGCCGACTCCTGCCCTGGGAAGGATGGTCCCTTGTGGGCAGATTCTTCTTCTTCATCTTTTTTTAAAGAAAAGCTGGAAGTCTGGTTTCTTCTTATCCTCATGATTGTTATTTTGTGTCCTGGGTGAAATCTATAGTTTAGAATGTTGGTTTCACGATTCTTTTCTTTCTTCTTTTTTCCATGGGGTTTGGGTGCAAGAAAACATTTGTGGAGGCAGAAGGTGGCCTCAGGATCCCCGGGCAGTGCCATCTGAAGTAATGGCACGAGCAGATAGGTGGATTAACGAATGAGTGGATGGATGAGTTTGAGGGATAAGTACATCAGGACCCTGGGGGCTGGGGGCATCCAGCTCCCCTGGGTCCTGCCCCACTGCGCCCCACCTGATGGCTTCCACCTTTGCAGATGAGCAGGAGACCACAGGGGCGATCAGCTACACAGTGGAACTGAAACGTTACGGGGGTCCCCTGGGCATCACCATCTCGGGCACAGAGGAGCCTTTTGACCCCATTGTTATCTCAGGCCTCACCAAGCGTGGTCTCGCTGAGAGGTGAGCTGGGGTTCTGTGGGGACACACAGGGCAGGCCTGGGGACCCTCATGGGGCAGGGGTTGGGCTTTGGGAACGGTCAAAGTGGATTCTGACCTCGGTTCCAACGTCGATGTCCTGGGTGACATCAGGCCTGTCCCTTCCCTCGCTGAGCCTCAGTTCCACAGAGGCAGACCAGCCCCCCTGGCAGACCTCCCTCCCAACCTGGAGATTCCGCGTGTCTGGAAAGTCAGCACTGGGAGCCATTTTGGATCCCCTGCTGTGTGCCTTCAATCCTGGCACAGCCTGGGGCTTTTCGGGAGGCATTAGAGGCCGCCCTTCTGTCCTCTCCTCTGGGAAAGCTGTGAGAAAGAGGGTGTCGCAGGCTGTCCAGACTGGGGGGAGCAGGTGAATCTGGGGCCCAGAGGTGGAACAGGGCCCCACAGGGGTCACAGGGATGCCAGGCCTGGGTGGGACAGGCTGGGCCCCCCGAGGAGGATGAAAGCAGGAGGGCCCACATGGTGGTGGTCTGCAGCAATAGGATGGAGGGGACTGAGGGTCGGTGGAGGGCTCCCTGTTCCTGGAGCGCCCCCTGCTGGCCCACTGCAAAGGCCAGTGTGGACGGTTCCTATCTCAAGTGTGTTCATCTACTCCCACCTTGACTGGGTACCTACCGGGTGCCAGCCCGTTCTGGGAGCTGAGGACGCAACAGACAGTGCCCTTGCCCTCACCGGGCTGATCTAGCTCAGTGCTGACCAACTGCAATGTAATGCGAGCCCCACGTTTCAGTATAAACTTTCTGGGGGCCATATTAGAAAAATAAAAGAAAAGAATAACATGAATCTTAAATACGTATTTATGTTAACATGTGTAGTCAATATACAAATTATAACGAGATGTTTTACATTCTTTTTGTCATACTATGTCTTCAGAACCCGTTGTGTATTTTCTATAGTCAAGCCATCTCAGTTTGGGCCAGCCACGTTTCGGGACCCAGTAGCCACATGGGGCTGGTATCTCACGATCACCTTCCCCAGCCCAGTTCCCAGGGATACCATTTCATCGGCCAGGGGTCAGGGCCAGGCAGCACACATTTTTAAAAACGCTCCTCAGTTAAGCGACTGCCTTTGGCTCAGGTCACGATCCTGGAGTCCTGGGATCGAGTCCCGCATCGGGCTCCCTGCTCAGCAGGGAGTCTGCTTCTCCCTCTGACCCTCCCCCCTCTCATGCTCTCTCTATCTCATTCTCTCTCTCAAATAAATAAATAAAATCTTAAAAAAAAAAAAAAAACCGCTCCTCAGGTAATTCTAATGGTGTCCAGGTAGAGACCCCACTGGGCCAGAGCAAGGCTACTGCCTGGCCCTATCAGCCCCTCGCACCCCCTTGTGAGGTCAGCTGAGCACCCTGTGCTCATTCTCTGGGTAAGAAAACAGGCCCAGGGAAAGGAAAGGCTCCCCATGGATTTCTGCTGGAGGGAAACACGAATCCCTTCCACCCAGCCATCTTTCAACTACAATTAGATAAAGTAAGTTTATCACTCCCATTTTACACGTGAAGGAACTGAGACTCAGGGAAGTTGAGAAACGGGGCCCCAGATCATGCTTGACACTGATTCCAGAACCTGACTTTAGAGTCAGGCAGAATAATCCCCTCCCCCGCCCCAAATTCTAGACTTAATTTTTTTTTTATTTTTTGTTTTTTAGAGAGGAAGAGAGTGGGAGGAGGGGCAGAGCGAGAGGGAGAATCTTAAGCAGGCTCCATGCCCAGCACGGAGCCCAATGCAGAGCTCAATCTCACGACCCTGAGATCATGAGCTGAGCCAAAATCAAGAATCGGATGCTTAGCCGACTTAGCCACCATGCATCCCCCAAATTCTAGACATTATACCTTTTTTAATGCCACCTTAAATGACACTTGCTTTTTGCTACAGCTGGGTTTAACTGAGGTCAGTCAGGCTTGTGCCTTGGGGTTCCTGAGTTCCCTGAGGGCAGACCCCCTCCTGGAAGCCTTGAATGTCTCTCATTCTCTGTCCTGTGCCCTCTCCCCAGGACTGGCGCTATCCACGTTGGGGATCGTATCCTGGCCATCAACAGCGTTAGCCTCAAGGGCCGGCCTCTGAGTGAGGCCATCCACCTCCTACAGGTGGCTGGCGAGACTGTCACACTGAAGATCAAGAAGCAGCTAGACCGTGAGCCTCCCCCCCGTCCCCCGGGGCCATCCACCCATTTAGGAAGGGAAATCCCTCTGTGCCTCTGTGCCAGGTTCATGTGCCCAACCCCATGGCATCCTCACCAAATCCTATGCAGGTGGGAAGACACCTGGGACAGCTGAGGAGGCCAGACTCAAGAGAGGGGAGTGGTGGTCCTAAGGTCACAGCTTGTGTAGGGCAGAGTCTGGGTCTGAACCACCCTCTCCATCGCCTCCCGCCTCTCAAGGCTGCTTGTTCTGCCTTAGGGCCGAAGTTTGTACATTCCTCAGTTCCCCTGAATTTGCACCCTGTACCTTGGCAGGGAGACCACCACCTGCAAGGGAAGGAACCTGAGCTTTTGGGTCTTCCTTCTAATCTGGGCTCCACTGTTGTTCACCATGTGACCTTGGGCGTGTTGTGCAGACCCAGAACCTCAGGGACTCCCCAGGGCCCAGCTCAGAGAACTCAGCCTCAGTTTTCCTGTCTGTGAAATGGGTTTGCCCATTAGTGTGCCCCTTCTCCTCCTATCAGATTGCTCAGTAGCAGGCTCGGGAGTGTGGAGGGGGCGCTCAGTGCCTGTGAGTTCCCAAACCAGACTGAAGTGGGGAAGCTGAGGCTCACTGAGTGTCTCTGTGTCTCTGAGGTCAGAGGCCAGTGGTGGTGACACCCCTTTTCTGTCCCAGGCCCCCTCCCATGCCGCAAGTCGGGCAGCCTCAGCGAGGCCAGCGATGCAGATGAGGACCCACCAGAGGCACTCAAAGGAGGCCTGATGGCAGCCCGGTTCTCATCCGCTGTGCCCAGTGTGGATAGTGCTGTGGAGTCCTGGGACAGCTCGGCCACAGAGGGTGGATTCGGGGGCCCAGGTAACGCCTCGGGGCCCTAGGCCAAGTGACATGCTCTCTCTGGGCTGCCCCAGCTGCCAGGCCTTTGCAGGGGCTGTTCCCTCGGCCTCATCCTCCCTCCTCCTCTCCCTGCTTCATCCTTCAGGGACACTTCCTGGAGGCAGACCTGCCTGGGCCCCATTAGCCATTCTCAGGGCCCCTTACTGCTCAGAGCATGGACCCCAGGCCTTCATACATCTTTTGATTAGCATCCATAGCACCATGGAGTTCCCCATCTTGAGGTTAGGGACCAAGCTGGCTTCACCTTTGTCTTTCTCATTCCTAGCCTGGTGCCCTGTACACAGCAGGCGCCCAAGCAGTGTTTATTGCATCCAGTTGAAGATAGGAAGGCAGAAAGCCCCTTCCCACCCTGTCCCGCAAGACCCTGCCTTAAGGTGGACACATCCAGGCTGCCCTCTGAGGACACAAGCTCCCCTGCCCGGGCATGTTGAGACTCATGGGTGGCCTCGGGGTTTGGGGGGCATTTGAATCTAGCAGCTGGCCTTCTGGCCTCTGTAAGGCCTGGCTCAGAGAACTAGTGGAGCGAGGCCTCTAAGTGGCCTCAGGTGGCTCCCAGCCCTGGTCCTCACTGGCTGTATATCTATCTGCCTTCCCTGGGTCTCTGCTTCCCCGTCTCTTGTACTTGATAAGCATCTCGTAGCTTACCCCTGGGGCAGGGTCTTGAGAGCTCCCAAAGGCAGGCCGAGAGGAATGGTTACAATGGTGAGCCTCCTCCCCAGGTAGGAGGCAGCCAGGCTAAGCCCATGGCATGGAGCCGAGACAGGGTCTTAGAGCCCTGGCCATGAACTCCTCTGCTGGGTGATCAGGAGTTCTGGGGGGTTCTGGGGGTAGGGACTAGGTGGCAGGGCCCTCAGGGGACTCTGGGTAGTCATGTAAGGCCAGAGGGGGCCAAGACCTATCCAGGGTCATCTAGCACAGCTGGAAAAGGGGTGGGAAGGAGGGCAAGCCGAAGTGGAAACAGACACCCACCTCTCCACCTGGCAGGCTCCTACACTCCGCAGACGGTGGCTCGGGGCGTGACCCCCCAGGAGTGGCGGCCCAGCCGGCTGAGAAGCAGCCCCCCACCCACCGAGCCCCGGAGGACGAGCTATACCCCGGCCCCCACGGACGAGAGCTTCCCCGAGGAGGAGGAAGAGGAGGATTGGGAGCCACCAACTAGGTCTGTGGTGGGAATGCCACGAGGGAGGAGGCAGTCATGGTCTCCCGGTCTCCATAGTGGTGGGGCAGCAGAGGGGTCTTGTCCGGCTCCTGAGGAGGGGCGCCTCCCAGGAGAAGGGAGGAAGCATCGGGCAGAGCTGCCTCAGCCAGGCTGAGATGGGGACAAGGGTGTGCCAGGCAGAGGGCACAGCAGTGGCAAAGGCGTGGAAGGTGTTTGCCTTTCCAGAGTCTGGTAATCTCCCATTCTCAGAACAGCTCAGAACTTGAACCTGACCCTCCTAACTTAGCCCAGATTGCTTGATGGCCTCCTGCAAGAGCCCTCAGGTCCCAGGCACCCGCCCTGGCCGTGGATGTGGTGGGTTTGGTAGCGGTTGGCTTTGAAGGACACCGCATCACTCCTGGAGGAGGCTCTCGCAGAGAGCAGGCCCTGTGGAGAAATGCTGTTCCTCACCCAGCCCTAGCCACCCCTCCTGTGTCTGTGCTTTGGATCGGGCACTTCCTTCTGCCTCCAGTGCCCTTCCCTCTCTCTCCTGGCCAAGGCCTGTGCGGCCGTGCAAACCCAGCTCACATTCTCCCGCCTCCTCCCGGAGGCTCCCCCGACTTTCTCAGACAGAAGGCATCCCTCCCTCTGCTGGTCCCCAAGCCGCCACTGCGAGCCTCCTCGTGGCATTGGCTGCCTTGTGCCCACCTGGTTCACGACCTGGCTGTGGTCCCTTCTGCGTAGCGCCCCTCGCTGAGTGCCTGGCACCCAGTGGGGACTGCTGCACACTTTGTGACTGAATTATCAGCTCCTTGAGAACAGGGGCTACACCTTACTCACGGCCGTAGCCCCAGGCCCTGCGGAGCCCTGGCCCGGGGAATGTTCGTAGAATTGGTTTGAATGGAGAGAATATCCTTCAGCCTTAGTCTTCTCATCTATAAAATGGGAAGGACAGGAGGCAACTATTGCCCATCATCCTCCCTGAGTCTCCCTAGGAGAGAAAAGCTCGTGGGCCTTTGTAAGAAAGTGCTTTGCAAACCATCCTTTCTAAGCGGCCAGGACTTTGTAGGTGGCAGTTGGCTTTGTGAACTATGAAGTGTGCAAGTGTGACTTGTTACCATTCTAACAAGCCTCGATTTTAGAGCTGACGATGGGCCCATACAGCCTGTGATGGAACCTGTGGGGTGGCCTGGACCCTTCCCCAAGCGCAGATACACTCTCCTCTCCATCCATCTGTGTCCTCGCTGGCTCCAGCTCTGTCCCTGTCACTGTGCTATGATGCCATGTGTCTGGGTGGGGCCAGGGGCCGTCCTCTGGGGCTACACCATGGATCTCCTCTCTGTCTGTCTGTCTGTCCGTCCGTCTGTCTCTCTTCCCAGGCGTCCTGTGTCACCGCTCTCCACCCCGTCTCATCTGCCCCTGTTCTAACTGGCCACCGACAGTCCTGGTCGCCCCTAACTGCGTCTTCCCCCCATTCCGTGTCACCAACCACTGCCCCGGGGCCCCAGCACTGCCACCGAGGACGCCCGCCTGCCTGCCCGCCCGCCTGCCCGCCCACCCTATGGCCCCTCGAGCCCAACGCTGGGCCCCGGGGCCCCGAAGACTCCTCAGGCCCCAGCCCGCCTGCCCACCCACCCGCCTGCCAGGAGTTGACACTCTCTGGTTCCTACGTTACAGCCCAGCCCCTGGCCCTGCCCGTGAGGAGGGCTTCTGGCGCATGTTCGGGGAAGCGCTCGAAGACCTGGAGTCATGTGGTCAGTCAGAGCTGCTGAGGGAACTGGAGGTAGGGCCACCCACCCCACAGACCTTCCTGGGGGCCCCCGTGCATGGACACACCGACGTGCGTGCCCGTGGGAAGCAAGCATGTTGACGGGATCCTGTTCATGTGTAGTGTGTATCATGCACTCACTCGGCACCCTCCGTGTAAAGGCGTCTTTACCCACGTGCAGGTGTGATTGAGAGCACCATGGTATGGCACGTGGAGGTATGTGCACATACGGACGTGTCTGGAATCATCATGTGCGCACCGGGGGCATGCGTGTGTGCATGTGTGTGAGCATGCTCATGTATGCACAAATGCTGAGGGTATTTTCAGAACAGGTGTGTCTGAGCGCCCATTTGGATGCTGAGGGGCAGTTTTGGGGTGTGTGTGTGTGTGCAGGTGCAGTCTGGGGACGTGGTTGTGGGCATGCTCCGTGGAAGCATGTGGATGTGAGCATCAGGGACAGACAACACAGGGGATGAGGGGTCAGGGGACCTGAGAAGTGAATGCAGCTTTGTGTGAGGTCAGCATGGCCCACTTTGGAACAGGCTGCCCGGGAAGGTCTAGGAAGGATCCGACTGGTCATTTCAGAAGCTCTTTCATGCTCTGAGAGCAATAATTTAAACTTCCACTTTATCTGTGCTTTTGCCCCTAAATTGTTGATTGGTACCATTTTTTTCCTCCATCAGTCTTGCCAATTACTAGGCTCCTCAAAGAACTGATTTTTGGCTTTGTTAATTCTCATTGTTTTCTTTTTTTTTAGATTTTATTTATTTATTTGACAGAGAGATAGCGAGAGCAGGAATACAAGCAGGGGGAGTGGGGGTGGGAGAGGGAGAAGCAGGCTTCCTGCCAAGCAGGGAGCCCGATGTGGGACTCGATCCCAGGACCCTGGGATCATGACCTGAGCCAAAGGCAGACACTTAATGACTGAGCACCCAGGTGCCCAATTCTCATTGTTTTCTATCTTACTCATTTCTGTGTTTAGCTTCTACTTTATTTGTGTTATTTAAATAACACAAATGGTTTCTTAGCTCCTTCATTTTCAGTCTTCCTTGTTTTCTACCATAGTGCACCTTAAGCTATGATTTTACCCATAAGCACGGCTTTGGCTGCATTCCCCAAATTTTGATTTGTGATGCTTTTGTTGATCATTCAATTCCAAATATTTCAAAAATTTCTATTACGATTTTAGTTAAGCCCTTGAATTACACAGAAGTGGAGAGTTTTTTTTTTTAAACCCACATTTTAAAACCAATTCATATTTGCTTTTAATTCATATGTACTGTGGCCAGGAGATATGTTCAGTTTGCTATGAATTCTTTGGAGTTTGCATCCTTATGAAATGTTATATGCTTTATCTTTATAGTTTTTTTTATTAGCGGTATGATAAAATTCCCGTCATGAGTGGAGATTTGGCAAGTTTTTGACATTGTCAATTTTTGTTTTCTATCCCTTGAGGTTATATTGTTAGTTTCATATAAATTCATGCTTGCTATAAGTTCTTGGTGAATTTTTCTTTTTATTATTAATCAGTATCTCTATCCGGATCTATGTGCTTTCCACTTTAAATTCCATTTTCCCTCATAATAATATGGTTCCATCAGCTTTATTTTAGCAGTGTTTCCTGTCTTTTTTCCAATATATTTATTTACAAGCTTACTGTGTTACTAAGTGTGTACATTTATCATTTTAAATGTATCTGTTATATGCTGTATGTAGCTTATTTTTCCCCCAATCCAAGAGTCTCCTTTTTAAGCTAGTTCATTTATATTTATTGTGATTACTAATATAATTAAACTTAATTCTAGCATATAATTTATACTTTCTATGTATCCTACTTACTCTATACTTCTGATCTATCTTTCGTATTCTTGTATTGATAAATCTTTTATTCCTGTTTACTCTCTCCACCACCAAAATGGACATTTTGTAATTTTATTCTTTTAGTGATTATCCTTAATTCATTTAATACTCAGTTTTTATTTTTATTTTTTATTTTTATTTTTATTTTTTAAAGATTTTATTTATTTATTTGAGAGAGAATGAGAGCAAGCACACGAGAGGGGGGGGGGTCAGAGGGAGAAGCAGACTCCCTGCCGAGCAGGGAGCCCGATGCGGGACTCGATCCAGGGACTCCAGGATCATGACCTGAGCCGAAGGCAGTCGCTTAACCAACTGAGCCACCCAGGCGCCCAATACTCAGTTTTTAAATTTCAAATTTTTTATTATTACAGGAGCCATATATGTGGATGGTGCAAAATTAGATAAACAAAATAAAATCAAAACTAAAATAAGCAAAATAAAACATAAGAACACAACATTCCCACTACACATAGATCATGACTGTTACTGCTTAAGTGAGTGTATATGTATTTTTAGGATAGTGAAACCATGATGTACATGCTCTTTCGTACATTTTTTCTGTCAGCTACCCCATTTTTTCCCCACATATGGAAATAACCTTTTGATACATTTTCATTTCTTCTAATACCAAGGTCATATGCAGGTTTTCACGGTTGACCCCAAATTTCCCTTTATACCTGGTCTGGCTAAGCTGGTGCCCAATCAAAGCTTGGCACCTCGTTGTTATGCTTTTTCAGTCTCTCTTAATTTTAGTCCAGTGCCTTTTTAATGATGCTAAGTTAAAATTTTTGTTTACCAAGATAAAACTCACATAACATAAAATTTACCACGTTAAAGTAAATTGAATATTAAAAGCAAAAAGAAGTAGGCGTGCCTGGTTGGCTCAGTCAGTTAAGCATCTGCCTTCAGCTCAGTCATGATCCTGAGGTCCTGGGGTCCTGGGATCGAGCCCCACATCGGGCTCCCTGCTCAGCGGGAAGCCTGCTTCTCCCTCTCCCTCTGCCTGCTGCTCCCCCTGCTTGTGCTCTCTCTCTCTGTCAAATAAATAAATAAAATCTTTAAAAAAAATAAAAGTAAAAAGAATTAATTAAGGATAATCACGAATAATTCAGGGGCTTTTAGTGTTTTCATGATGTTGCGTATACACGACCAGAACATTTCTAACATCCCAAAAAGAAACCCCACATCTCCCAACTGCTATCTGCTTTCTGTCTCTATGGATCTGCCTGTTCTGGATATTTCTTATAAATGGGGTCATGCAGTATGTGGCCTTTCGTGTCTGACTTTTTTCATTCAGCCTGATGTTGTAGAACGTATCAGTACTTCATGCTTTCTATGGCCGAATAATATTCCATTCTATGGATAGACCATGTCGCTAACTTTTTGAAAAGACTAGGCGCAACTGACTTGGCCTTGAATTTTCACTATCTTCGCTTTGCTTTTTCTAGCAAAGTCGAATCGATGCCTTTGGCCCCCCTTCTGAAGGAGACAGGGCCTGTAGAATGCTTCCATTTCCCTCTAAACTCTCTCCTCTAGTCTCCCTGCTTGTTTACAAATTACTCGAAGTTAGTTAATGTGGGATTTTAGTCAGTACTCATTAGGGTTGTAGGCAATTAATTTCTTGGCTCACTGTTGCTTTTTGCATTCTACTTTTTGCTTCTGAGTTCATCTTTAAGATCTTTTAGTGACAATCTTGGGGTGGTAAACTCTTCTAGGTTTTGTGTGTGATTTTATCTTATTTATTTTTATGATCAGCAAGATAGCAGAGTGTTAAGACCCTTGACTTTGAAACCAGATTCTGAGTTGAAATCATAATTTCTCTTAGCCTGGGTTTCCTCACCTGTAAAATGGACCCCCCAAATGGTATTTGCCTGTCTTTCTTGTAGTATCGTAGAGGACAAAATGAGTTGTGTGTGTATAGTGAGTGGAACTGAGCTCAGCACAGAGTAAGTGTTAACCATTCAGTGCCAACAATTAGTATTCTGATCGTGGGTGTGATCGAGGACCGCCCCCCCCCCCCCAGCCCACGATCAGACTGGAGCCCCTGGAGAGCAGGGACCCTGTCTATGCTGTGCACCATTGTGACCTTGAAGGCTGATACATAGTAGGTGTCCACAGATGCTGATGCAAACAGCGAGCAAACAAGCATCCGAGTGAAGGGCTCTGTGTCCGCAGGCATCCATCATGACGGGCACGGTGCAGAGTGTGGCCCTCGAGGGCAGGCCCAGCCACCGGCCCTGGCGGAGGGGCCAGGAGGCACGAGCGTCCCCTGAAGAGATGCAGGAACTGCTGCTGCCGACACCCTTAGAGATGCACAAGGTGGGCGCTGGGGCTGGGCCTGGGAAGCCTGGATGCGTGGCCTGGATGCGTGAGGACCCACCAGCGGCTCCAGATGGGCCCACCCCTCCTGGGCTTCATTTTCCTCCACCAAACACAATTTTGTACTAGGTGGAACTTGTCAAATTCTCACCATTTGGGTGATACACACACACCCCTGTGATGCACACTGGGCTGCTATGAATATTTTTCGTTAAGTAGACTTTTCCCCCACTTAAGATAGTGTGTGTGTATATAAAATAGGAACACGTTTATATATGATACATGTATATGTATGTGTGTGTCTGTGTGTATATATATCATATATATCAGTTATCAGTTCCTTAAAGGAGAAGCCAGCCTCCCTTGCCATCTGTAGGTTACTATATAGAAAAACAAGGGAGAAGAAACCTCTCAGCCAGTAGCCCTCAGAAGGCTCAGAGCCTCTTGCTATTTGCGAGATGAGCAAGTGTTAGAGGGGTGAAAACCCGTCGATACGCCACCGAGACTTTCTCCTGGGGGGAAGGGAGAGGACTGAAGAAGAACGGAGAAGGAACCCCTTCCCCGGCTTCCCACTGTGACTGGTGCCGGGAACCGGAAGTTGTGCTGCCAGGGAGGACGCGAGGGGGCGCTGTGTGGTAGTGGCAGGGAGCCGGCTGGGCAGTGGGCGGGGCGTGGGTCCCACACCAAGGGACGTGGGCTGCTGTGGGGAGCTGGGGACAAAGGTCAGAGCTCCAGGGACTTCCCCCTCCTTCTGTTCCCAGGTGACCCTGCACAAGGACCCCTTGCGGAATGACTTTGGTTTTAGCGTCTCTGACGGCCTCCTGGAGAAGGGTGTCTATGTCCACACTGTGCGCCCTGATGGGCCAGCCCAACGTGGGGGCCTCCGGCCCTTCGACAGGGTTCTTCAGGTAATGCTGGGCTGGGGGCACCATGATAGCGTGGCCTTTCCTTGCCTCGGGGGAAAGAGCCCCACTTCCACCCTGGCTGAGTGGCCTTAGGCCGGTCACCTTCTCTCTCTGAGCCCCGGCTTCCTCATGTGCGAAGCGAATAACAACACCAGTCCTATGGGCCCGTTAGGCTCAGTTATGTTGCACTAACAACCCCGAATCTTAGTGGTTAACACACGAACCTTTATTTGTCCGCTGGGGGGCGGCATAGGCTTGCTCCGCCAGGCTGGTGGGGGCTCTACCCTCTGCAAAAGCCTTCGACCATGTGACCTAGGAACCGAATCTGGAAAACCACACGTGGGTTTTTTCCTGCCTCCACCCAGAAGCAACACCGGCCACTGCCCTTTATGGCCGATTGGCCAGAACCAGTCACGTGACCTCGCCAACTGCAAGGGAGCCTGGGAAATACGGGTGAGCCCAGGGAAAGCTCTGGGACAGCCCTCGCCCGGCCACGCTCCGCTGCTCTTCCCTCGCCCCAGCTACTTTTGTTCCTTTGGTGCGATTTCTGCTATGTTCGCGCTACACTTACTGCATATGTTTCCTTTAAATTGGTGGAGTTTTTCTGACTTAAATTTATTTTGAAAAGAAGCTTTTCATGTCATTTAGGAATGAAAGACCAGCACCCCTTGCTTGACATAGAAGGTCAGTGTGAAATAAAAATAAAACAGAAACAAAGCAATGTCACCAATTCTAGGCAGGAAGCTGAGTGTGTGGTCTGCTCTTTCATGAAAAAGGGAGAGAAGTAGGTGTTAGAGGAGCAGGAAGGATGTCCTGGCACCTCCTTCGGGGTTTCTCTTTGATAAAACCTAACCAGAAGGATTGAAAGAGAGCTCGATGAAGGAGGACTTCTCTTTTGAGTGTGCTCTAGGTTTACCCTGTATGTGGGCTGGGGCCGGGCCCACACTGGAGGACATCTCAATGATTCCTACCTTCTTCAGCCCGGACGCAGCTGATGCCCGTCTGCCCCCTTGGCTGTGTTCCCTGCAGGTCAACCATGTTCGCACGCGGGACTTTGACTGCTGCCTGGCCGTGCCGCTCCTGGCGGAGGCAGGTGACATCCTGGCGCTGGTCATCAGCCGCAACCCACTGACCCAGAGCGGCCGAGCGCCACGAGCACCAGGCCCCAACAGCCCCCGGATGCTTTGAAGTCAGCACGTGGTCTGGACACCCACGGGCCTCGGTAGTAGGTCCTGGCCCCCAGACCTGTAACTGGGCTGGAGACCTGGCCACTCACTTATCCATCTGTCCGTCTGGCAGGCTCTGAGCCACGGACTGGAATCTGTCTCTATTCTCTGGTTCTCTGGTGCCTGAAGTACCAGGCAGTGAGGTCCCTGCCCCAACTGGAGTGACATCTAGGTCTTTCTCCATGTTGGGACTCCAAGATGTCCAGAGGAGCCCCACTCAGTTGGGGTTGAGACAGGCTGCTCAGCTGGAAGAGGGACCCTGGGGGCTAGGGAGCCCAGCTACTATAGGGAGTGCTTTCTCCCAGCAGAGCTATGGAGTTGCCAGGGAGGAGTGAGCTCCCTGTCACAGGAGGTGGGCAAGTGGGAACCGGATACCCCCAGTGCATTCATGGACTGAGGTGTGAGGCATCCGGGCAATGGGTCCACACAGGCTCAGGTAGTTAGCTTCCCCATAGGGGGAGCATTTAGGGTGCACCTGGGGGGCCACCTTTTCTGGACAGCCTCCCCCCAAGAGGGATGCCACTCAGGGTGGCAGCCTAGCCCCTTCCCTACTCCAGAATTCTGGTGTTTGGGGCTTGCTGGCATCCCCGCTTAAGAGGCTCTTGAGCTGGGATGGCTGAATCCCAGGAGACATTGGCCTGTTGATTCTGAAAGTGAGTGATTCTTTCATTTTGGCAGCTCTGGTCTGAAGCCTCCGGGATTTGAGACCCTCAGTTCTGGGCCCTTTGGGCCAGCTGGGTGTCAGGCTTTGGGCTCTCAGCCCCTCCTCCTTCTTTTGTAGGAGGGGCAGGCAGAGATCCATATGAATACACCCCTCTCAGGCCAGGCCCCTCGCAATGGGAGGGAGTCATCTGGGACAGAAGACCCAGGAGTTTTCGTTCACCATTTCGGTGGAGATGGGAAAACCATAGAAGTATCACATATAAGATGATACAGCTCCTCTTCGATCTCCAAATCCATGAAGGAGGAGAGACAGGGAGAGGGAGGCACAGAGACAGACGTAGGCAGGCAGGAAAGCGATGGGCCATTCTCTCTCCTGCCCAAAGGTGACAGTGTCCAAAGAGGTGATTTAAGAAAGTTTATTCCCACTTGAAATCTGAAAGCACCAGCATCCCTTAAAGTCATTGTCCTCATTTTCCGCAGACCAGAAACCCTTTTGAGTTTGAGAAGGGCATAGGCCTTCACCTGGTGGTCTGGGCTGCAGCCCCAGGGATGGAGGTGGGCAGGCAGGATTCAGTCAGGGCTGGGGGGTTGCTTTGCTCTTAACGGGGGTCTCAGGAAAACGGGGCACCCACTCCCGCCTGCATCCTTCATGCTTCCGTCCCTTGGAGGCCCCCAAATCCTCTTCCACTCGAGGGACAAGATGGGGAGTCAAGAGGCTTGTTCTTTTTGCTCTGTGACCCCTCTCAGTCTGCCCTTCTCTGGACAGTCTAGGGGTGGATAGTCTTTCTGAGCAGGTACGGGCCTCCCTGTCAGGGCCAGAACCATGCCCACTGGGCACCCTGCTCACACTCTCCCTGAGGGCCTGCATTCCCTCTTCTCCCTCCACTTCCCCACACCCTGCTGCTCCCTGCGTTCCCTGGAGAGCCCTCCATGCCAGGGCTGGACTGCCCAATGCCTCTGCTATCTTGGATTCCTGTGTAAACACCCGCCCCAGGGTGAAAAGGTACTGCCCCCCCATCACAGGGGCACCGAGCAAAAGCCAAGAGCCCTCAGCCTGGGGGGCCAGGGGGTGCCACAGCAGAGACATGGCCACTGGCAGCCGCAGCTGTGTGAGCTTAGGCAAGTTGCCTAGCCTCTCTGGGCCTCTGTCAAGTGACAGGGCTGGACAGGCCGCACTCCCAGGGCCTCTCGGCTCAGGAGAGCTGCGTTCGACTGCCGGTGAGAAGAAGCATCCCCTCCCCGACCAGTGCCCCCTGCCTCCTCCGGCTGAGGCCTCTGCCATCTCCCAGACGTATGCAACCAGGCCCGGCAGGTGGCCCCTGGCCGTGGCCAGCCTTCTCATATGCAATATTCTGGCTTCTCATGGGGGTCATAGATCCCAGACTTGACATTTCCCGATGCCCGTCCCCGGTGAGTGTCCTGCCTGCCTATGCATTTTGGGTACAGCTCCTGTGACCTGCCCCTCCCACCCCCAAAAGCTGTATTTTTCTCTGGCTGAGATTAGAGCATATTCCTTGTAAAGTATTTTTCTACGTGGGGTTTTCTTAGGGCTCTTGGAAACACAGGCCAAGGGGCTGTGTTGCAAAGGCCATTTGGGGTCTCTTTGGGGCCCGTGTATAAATCTGTTCTGCCAGGGGTTGCAGTGACTTAGGAGCTGGGGGGGGGGGAGGGGCTGCTGTTGGGATGATTTTTTTAAATAAAATTATTTAAAAGCAACTAGATTGTGGTGTGTGCTTTTTTTTTTTTTTTTTTTTTTTTAATCATAGACTGGCAATAGTCAACTTCTGTTTGGATCTTATGACATCTTCCCTGCTTTTAATTAATTCATCCATTCCAAAGGTCTGCTTGGGCTCTGCATCATTCCAGCCCCTGGGATAACAACATGAACACGACGGATGAGGGAGGTCCCGCCTGCATGGGGCTTAGATTCTCCGGTTGAAGACAGACAGTGAACAAGGGAGCAAATTGTAAAGGATTATTTCAGGAGGTATGGAGTGCAGTGAAAAAAACCCAGTCATGGGGATAAAGTGGGGGACGAGAGCTTTAGCTCAGGGGTCAGGAGGGACTTCTCTGAAGAGGTGATATTTGGGCTGAGACCTTCAAGACAGGAGTCCCTTGGGAAGACTGGGAAGAACAGTGTCCCAGGCAGAGGGCACAGCAAGTGCAAAGGTTCGGAGGTGAGAATGAGCTTGGTCGGTTCAAGGAAGAGAAAGGAGGCCCAGAAGCAGAGTGGGGAGACCAGGTTGGAGGTTTGCAGGGCCCAGTGGTAAGGGTTTGGGTAGGGACTATGGATTTTGTTCTGTCAGCAGGGCGAAGTCAAGGAGGCAGGTGAGTGGTGGGTCTGCTGTATGGAGCCCCTTTAGCCTGGGTGTGGCCCCATCGATGCCCTGAGTCTTCACAGGGCAGCCAGGGCACGATGAGCCCTGAGGTCATGGCCAGGCCTCCCTGGGGGACCACAACTCTGTGTGGGCAGAGGGAGCGCTTCTTCCCATCAACCATGCAGGATGGAGTACGCGCCCCCATCTCTGGAGGTGTGCTAGCCTGGCTGGACCACGCTGGGGCAACGACGTGGCTGGGCCAGGGAAGCCAAAGGCGAGCTGTGCATGGGTCACTGCGGCTCCTCCCAGGGCTGGGCGATAGGTTCAGGGCCCTTCCTCAAGGGGGACAGAGGTGTGGGCGGGTTGTGACCAGGAGAGGCCCGTCCTACACACCGGCTTTGTGCAGGCATTGTTCTGCGTGCTTTTCAAGAATCCCCTGGGTCCTCCTGCAGCCTTCTGAGGGGGCTCTGTTATCATCCCAATGTTCTAGGTGAAGAAAGGAGGCACAGAGAGGTTAAGTAACTTGCCCTAAGTCACACGGGGAGTAAAGGATGGAGCTACAATTTGGACAAGTTATGTGGCCAAGGCACACAGGGAGGAGGAAAGTGGACAGAGGCCATCAGAAAGGCCAATAGCCAGAAACAGAGCTGGGGGAGTGGTATTTTATTCTAACATTGTCTATAAATAATGAGTTACCAAGAGACCTTTTTTTGGTCTGGGAAGTTGGGGAAAGGACCCAGCAGCGTCCCCTGAACTTGCCCACACTCATTGATCTGCCCAAAACATCGACCTGCCCTGTGACCCCAGCGAGGCTGAGCCCCTCTCCCTGCCTCAGTTTCCCCATCTATAACAGTGGGTTGGGTACATGATTCCCAAGGTGGAGGACGTCTGTGCCAACCACTTATTTTCTGGGGTCCTGCGTGTCCTCTCTTTTGAGGCCCCAGTGTCTGTGGCATGATTTCTATTTGCATCCCTCTAGGGCTTACCCCCTCCCTGCAGCCTGCCCCACTCTTGGGCTTGGCAATCAGAAAGCCCCTGCTTGGGCATCAGTAAGTGACTACTCCTGGTGCGTCACCTCTAATCAGCCCAAAGCCTCAAAAGGGGCAGTGGTTTATTCCAAGTGGGGAAACTGAGGCTCGGGAGACCGATGTGAGCGGCCCCGCAGGGCTGGGTGTGCGGCAGGTGGGCTTGTCCCAGCGTCGGTGGAACCAGCCGGAGCAGACTCAGGAGTCGGAAGACAATGCTTTCACAGACTTGCTGTGTGCCCTGGAGTTGACTGCATCCCCTCTGTGATCCTCCGCCTCTGCCTCTGTCTCCGACCATGGATGACAACACCACCTTTGGGGAGCACCCTGGGGCAGAACTGAAAGCCTCTGTAAACTGTCAGGCGCTTGCCACACAGAAGGAAAGAGAGCCTCATCAAAACTGAACCCACACATGTTGGATTTTAAAAAGGAAATGTTTATTTTCATGTTATAAGGTGATTACAAACTCCTCTAAAAAAAAGCAAAGATGAATTTAAAATATCGATATACATATTTATCTAAAAAGCAAAAGAGGAAAAGAAAAGCCCTGCAAAATACAGGGATTCATATCATAAAACATTTATACACAAAAGCTTGTATACTGCAAGACTGAATTACACACCAAGGATCTTATTCAGATACAAATGTTCCTCCTCAGAAGAGTCTCGTTGGTTGATTTTTTTTTTTACAAAAGTTTAAAATATCTTAAAAATATTTTGAAGTTTTAAAAAAAAGTCCTGATGAGCCAGACATATTTCTGGAAGGAGGCAAGACCCACGTTCTCAGCTTTCTCTTGTGCTAAATACAGAGTCACAGTTGCTAGGGATTCGAAAATTAATTGGGGAAAAAAAAAGAAAGAAATGGAGCCAACATCTCAATTTGAAGCCAAATATATAACAAGATGCTCCATCCTTCAGGGAACTGTCAGAACACGTCTGTAGTGACACCCACAAGAGAACAATGAAACACAGCTTCCTATTAAAACAAGAGCGTTCTGAGGGCCAGGCGTCAACAGGGTGCTGGGGGCGAGGGAAATGCTGTTCTCTGGCTTCCGGGTTGCTCACGCCCCTCTCTGAGTTTTCATATCTGGGACTTGGTTTGGTTTGTGCTTGTTGGATTTTTGCACGGTGCTATGTACAGCATCCACGTGGACAGCCCAGCCTGGGGCTGCCTGACACTGGGGTCTCGGGCCGGAGGGGCCTCGATGTTTCTCTTGGATCCTTCCTGGCCTGTGTCTGAGGCTTGAGGGGAAGGAAGGCACCTCTGCCTTTAGCACTGGCTGCCCAGAGCATTGCCTGGTCCAGAAGGGCAGTGTTGGGAAGATTCCGACTGGGCCATGGACCACTACGTGGTGGCACCTGGGTGACACTGATCACCCCGTGCTAGGCTGAGGCTGGCTCACTCCCCTTGTGCTTCACCACCTTCTCGGGGGGGGGGGGGGTGTGTGCTGGGGATCTGGGGTGAGAATGAGGGAACAAAGGTACACAGAGGGGGCTGTGCATCACCCAGAAATCCCCCAAGGCCACTTCTTGCTCCCTGGGAATGTCCTGCATGGCCTCAGGCTAAATCTTGCCTAAAGGATTCTGCCTCTTGTACACCAACTGGCTTCACTGGGCCTCAGTTTCCTCACATGCAACCGGGATCTCAATTCCTAGCTCAGAGGGTTGTTGGGTGCAGTCACCCGTCCCACGGAGCCGCAGCGTGAGGTCCGGCGGGCCCGAGGATGGTGAGAGGGTGGGGGTGCTGCTCTCCTCGTCCCTGAATGCTGGGGGACAGAGCGCTTTCCTTTTTCATAAAGGCTCGTCTTTGGTCTTCCGGGAGAACCATGGGGAGCTGCACTCACCACTCGCCACACACCCCTTGGAGAACTGGAGCAGCTGGAACTGACTGCAGACAGTCTGGCTCCAGTCCCTGCTCTCTGTGCCCAGTCTCTTCCTCACCCCGGACCTCATTTCCCCCATTTTACAAGGGCGTTGATGGGGAGGCATTGACCATGCAGGAAGGTCCACTGCAGGGACTGACACGACCCGTGTCAGGCTCGCTGAAGCATCTCCCTGGGTGAGATTTATCCTGAGGCCCTTACCCATTTCTGAAGCCTCAGAAAGTTCTTTAACCATCTCCCTTGCATCCCTTCTCAGAGCCGGCCGACTGGGCTACGTGGGGGCACCAGGATTTCTGACCCATCCCAAGGCAGAGAGCGGGCGGAATGCCTGTTCTCCAGAGACAGGAGGACCAGAGTCATGAGCTCCAAATACAAGTTTCCTTTATGTGGAGACATATAAAAGTCACGCATTATTACACCTTGTACTCACAGAGCCAAGTTCTGCAGATACACAAGGGCTAGGGTGGGTAGACAAGAGGGTCCAACCGGAGACAGGTGCACCGGGAGATTGTCGAGGAGCGGGCTTGGGTAAAGTGGCTGACCTTCCTTCCAGGCAGGGCCTGGGGACTTGGTCTGCATGTGTCTTTGGTCTAGAATTTGGTCTGCGAATCTTATAGGAAGAAGCCTTTCTCAGGCCATTTCCAGAATGTTGCAATTTGCCTACCAACCCAAAATACTGTAGCCTTTCACCGGAGGGGAGATATTGTAGCCTGAAATGACCACAAATGCCCAGGCAGCCACAGTTTGCCAAGCCCCCCTTATCCCCACCTATCGCCTGTCCCCAGTCGTCGACAGTGGTTAGTTTACTAAGTTCCATGAGACAAAGGAAAATAGGTCACATTGCTACTCAGTAAAATTAGGAAACAACAACAAAAATAAAATCAGACACAGCGGCAACCATAAATACATAGAAAAAAAGGAACACACAATTGTTAATGGTTTGGAATAGGACTGGGTATTGTTTGGCAGAGTACATGCTTTGGAAACAGTGAAATGTGAATGTTTGCCGAAGAGAAGAGGTTCAGGATTGCCTCTGCCCCGGGGGAGGGGGACACCAGAGGCTCCTCCCCTCCCGAATTTGGGGAGAGGGTTCCAGGATTCAGAGAGCCCCCGCTCTGAAAACCCGAGCTGGACTTCACTCTCCACACCCCATGAGGCAGTCACTGTCGTCTTTGAGTGACAATGTTTCGGTTTAGTTTAGACTCTGAACTTGGAAGTGACAGTTTAAATGGCACAGTTTAGGTCCAAATGGGGGCTTGGGTGGAGACACATCCGTGTCAGGATTTTAAAGGTGGAGTACCTTCCCTCCTGGTTCAGAGGGGAATGCCACTCTCAATCAGGCTCTTGGTCAAACCAGTTCTGGGGTGCCAGCCCCCCGAACAATCCCACCTTTCTAAAAAACACTCCCTCACCTCCTCTCCTCGGTCCCCATGTAGTGTGCATCTAACACCAGCTACTGCAGGGGTTGTGACGTGAAGGGCCTCACCACCTCCTGAGTCGTCACCAAGGGCTGCTTTTGTGCCCGAACGGGGAGGAGGGTTTGGGAGCACTTCACCGAATCCAAGACTCGGGGAGCCTCCAAAAGCACTCTTGGCACTCCCAGCGAGGAGCTGGGGCAGCCTGGGCGGGGAGCTTGTCAGGAGTCTCCCAGCCTCTGGGAGATGAGGACAGAGCTGAGGGGGTAGAGATGAGGAAAGAAAAGCACCCCTCCCTGACACCAGGCCTCCCTGAATGCCTGGGCCCACACCCTTTGGTCCACCGGCCCACCCCTCGTCCCTCACCGAATACATCATGCTTCTCTCCCCCACACAGCTGCAAGAGATGTCAGCTGGGGAGTGGCCAGGTTCTTTAAGGTTAAAGAACCCCATTAAAATGCAACAGCCCCATCTGTGTGAGGTTTGGAACCCCGAGACCGCCAGCTCCTGCTGGGCGGGCCTCAGACCTCTACCTGGGATGCCCTGGGCGGCAGCCACGCCGGCAGCCTCCTGAGGGCTCCTGAATGTCGGGGCACCATCCTCACCAAGCCCTCCTGCGAGCTCTTGCCGGGCCCCCCCTCGGATGAATGGTTCTGACAATCTGTCGGACGGTCCTTCTGACTATCCACCCTCAATCTCAAAGTATTAGGTGGGATTTTGCTCTTGGTGCAACGGTTTATAGAGAATCAGACTTTCGCTGTCCGGCCTCATCTGTCTGCTTTAAGTCAGTCCCTTGATGTGAGGGGTGGATTCATTATTTTGGCATCTCTCTTCTTGGCTAAGACAAGTGTAATGAAGCATCTTCTCGTGGCCCTCCTTTCTCCAGCCCCTCTGGGTCTGGCCAGCTCGTGGGGCCTCCCCTTCCCCAGCTGTGTGCTTCTACGTGAACCAGGTTGGGAAGGTACTACACCTTTAAAATGGGTCTGCTGTCCAGGAAAATCCCACCCTGTGTTTTGGGGGGCAGAACTTTCTGCCAGCTACGCAAGCACCGAAGAATTGCTTTTGAAAACGAGATCTATTGCTGGCAAGAAGATCAATTCAAGTGGTAAAAGTGTATGACAATCTCTAAATGTATATATAATTATACGTAAAAAAAAATACAAAGAGAAATTTACCAAGTTCCCATAAAATACATCTAATTCAATACGAAAGCTCTGCCTTGCCCCGGACATCTGCCGGTGGGTTTTCTTTTTGTACAAAATATCCCCAAATCAAAACAAAATACACATACGCACAACACCACACGCACACACACCCCCCAACACACACACATACGCGCGCGCACACACACACACAGAGTAACATTTTCTGTGACAATTAAAAAAAACAATCCTAGTGCAAATAGAAAGCTCTGTAAACCTGGTCCTATGAGAATCTAATGTTAGTAAACAGCAGGGAAGCAGCCCGTCCGCCCGAGAGCTCACATCATGGTCTCTACTATGATGTGGGTCGGTTTCATGAGGGCGCCGTTCACAGCCAGGCGGGAGCTGTAAGGCGCAGCCCCCTCGCGCTCCATGGCCCAGCGGTTGGGTTCCCTCGGGGTCAGCAGGTACTTGAGTCTCTGGAGAAGCAAGGGGACGGGAGCAGAGAGGAAAATCAGGCGGCTGCTTCCCGGCTCCGCCACGACCGTCTACACCCCCTGAGTCGGGCCAGTGTGCTGTCTGGCCTTTGGCGAACTAGGACCCTCTCTGGCCCCGCCAAGGCATCCACTGGCAAACGAAGGAGTTGAACTAAGGTGCTTCTAAGGTCCCTCCGGGCCTTGAATCAGCGCAGAATTCCTGTCAGTAGTTCCCTTGGCCAACCCCTGCTTGCCCACCTCAGGGACAGGGGACTCACACCTCCCAGCTCCGACTTCTTTCTCCCATGGAGCTGAAATATGCCTCCTTGTAATTCCCATCCCCCGACTTCTCTGACTTGCAAAGCAGCCCGAGTTTCTGCAATTTGTATGCCAGAGGTTGGATAACTGTTGTGAGCCTCCTATGGCCCCCACCTTCTCCAAGGAGAAACTCCAAATTCCTCAGCTGCCTGTAAACTGCATTTCCTGCCTCTTGCACTAGGGTCCCTTCCCTTCCCCACCCCGTAGGTATCCGGTTCTCCCTGCTCGGGGCTCAGAGACCACTGTTCATGTCCGAGCTGCATCTTCTGACAGAGAGGAGCCAGAGGTTGGACTGTACGAGAATCATCCCATCACTTTTGGGCAGGGTGAGTTTTGTCCTCCTGGCTGGTTGCCGGATCATGGACTCAGTGAGGCAAAGAGCCCTTCCCAGGACACCCAGAAAGCCAACAGTGGCCAACTCAGGGCTCGTGACTCCCAGCTCCCCTCCTGCCAAGTGTCCATTCAGAGACTTCAGTAGGAAGCAGTTGTGAAGAAGAAACCTTTCTCCTTAGGCATTTACATTCCACTTAAGTCTATTACAATTTTTTTAAGGTGCTTATTAAAAGCTACAGTATTTCACTTGGAAAATCCAGATTTCCATCTGTTCTTAAAAACTTGCAAGATCTGGCAACCCCAGGGCCATACACCCCCTCTTGGTCACAGCAGGCCAGAGCTGAGGGCCTGGCTGCCTGCCGCAGCTCTGGATCACCTTCTCCAGGTCCCTCCCAGCCCTGCCTGATGGCTTCCCTCGCCTGGGTTCCCTGCCTGGTCCTGGGGGAGCTGGCCTGGAGGCCCCAGGTAAAGGGCAAGGGATGGAAGGGCGGCCAGAGAGCAGGCTCAGCTCCCTTCCACCACATTGCCTCTCTACACAGGTGCACGCCCAGAAGATGGGACAAGAGGTAGACAACGCCAGGCGGCCAGCGGGGCTCCAGCTCTATGGGAGGTGCACACGGAACTGGAGTCCTCCCAGGACAGAGCTCTGGGTTTGCAAACCTGGCTCAGAGAGACGCTCATTGCTGGGAGCACAGCCGGGAGACAGGTCGAGGGGCCCACAGCAAACAGATCGATGGGGGCTCCTATGCCTTCAGAGGAGGGGGCTTCGGTTATCCACCCGGTTTGTAGGTGCAAGTTTGAGTGGAGGCCTCACCCACACCCTCTTCCTTCCCCCACACAAACCCCATTCTCATCAAACCTCTAAACTTGGGATGGAACACTATTTTAAGATTAGGCTTTGAAGGGGGGCGCCTGGGTGGCTCAGTTGGTTGAGCGGCTGCCTTCGGCTCAGGTCATGATCCTGGAGTCCCGGGATCGAGTCCTGCATCGGGCTCCCTGCTCGGCAGGGAGTCTGCTTCTCCCTCTGACCCTCCTCCCTCTCATGATCTCTGTCTCTCATTCTCTCTCTCAAATAAATAAATAAAATCTTTAAAAAAAAAAAGATTAGGCTTTGAAGGGACACAGTTAGCGTTAGGTGTCCCCCCTCCACGGTTGAATCTCCAACTGCTGTGGGCACTGACCTATCGGTACAGACATTTAGGACCCTCTGCTGCGCCCCAATCACCCCTTTAGTTTCTTGGTAGTAGGGACATTCTGGAAATTGCCAGGGAGGGGCTAGGTTGGCATAGAGTGTTTGGGGGGGGGGGACATGTGGAGGGCTCAGGGCCGTAGCAATTGCCCATCTGTCCCCAGACCCAGTAGTTCAGGATTTTAACAAATCATAGGGCCTACCAGTATTCTGGCTGAACACTGGGGTCCTTCCCTGTATCCTGACAAATTACAATGGGTCCGCTGCTGCAGGAACCCCCAAGGGCCCCAGGGCTGTCCTGGCTCAGACAGACCCCGGCTTCATGGCCTGTTTTCCTCCCGGGCACGCCCCCGCCTACTTCCTCTGTCTAGGGCAGGCTGCTCCCTTTCTGCCCAGGGCCGCCCCTCTCCCCCTCCCACCACCACCTCCAGGCCATTCCCCTGCCCACAAGGAAACTGGCCCAGCCCGAGGGGGAGCCAGGGCCCCAGGACATCCTGGCTCCAGATTTTTAAGAGAATAACAATAAAAACAGCCCAGAACAAAACAGTGTAGTCTTGGAGCAGGCCCAAGCCCAAAGGTTAAGGGAGATTCTAAGAAAAGGGTTTCTTGGAAAGAGCCTCAGCTTTTGCCACAGCCTGGAATCTGCAGTATTGTTGGGAGAAATTTCTGAGGGGTTGGTGGTAAGGAGGGAGCCTCGGGGTGGGGGCCTGGCAGGCACAGGGACCTGGGGGCCTGAGGTTCTGTCTCCGGCAGCAGACGGGGCCACAGATGTGGGGAAGGGAGGGACACCACCATGGGTTGGGCTTATCCAAACCTTGGCTTCAGGGTAAGAGAAGGCCTCTGGGTGGAGCTCAGGCTTCCTTCCCGGCTCCTTGTCTCTTGTCTTATGGCTTCAGCAACATGGCCCCCACTGCTCCCAGGATAAAGCCCTAGCTCCGAGCTTGGCATGCAAAACCACAGTCACCTGTCCAGAGCCATCACCCACCCCCCAGAACATGTCACTGCTGCCCAAGTGCTGTCACACGTCCTTGCCTGTGAATGCACCGGGCATCACGGCCTTCCATGTCTCATTCTCTGCCTGGCAAATTCCTCCTCCTGCCCACAGCCCTGCTCCGAACCTCACCACAGAGCCTGTCCCCGTGAACTGTTCTTTTTTCCTGTTCCCCCATGTGCCTGCCCACAATCTCAACCCCTCCACAGGGCAGGCAAAGGGTGCAGGACCCAGAGAGGCCAGCGATGTGCCCAAGGTCACACAGCAAACCGACAGCCAACAGCCGGTAGCTGACTTTCACCCTTCCCCCCTCTCACCCTCCCACATCCCCCACATCCAGCCTCGGCCCCATGTGCTCACCACGAGGAACGGCCCTTCCGTCTGGCAGAGGCGGATGACCATGACCAAGGGGACACACATCATGGAGGACAGGGCCAGACTCCAGCCCAGCCCGATGGCCCAGGTGGGGTACACATAGACTTTGTTGTAGGTCAGAGGGATGTACTTGACGAGAGAGAAGATAAAACATCCCTGTGGAGAGATGGCACAGTTAGGGGGGTCCTGGGCATCAGGGGCACAGAGCTTAGGGGACCAGGGCAGCCCCCACCCGAGGGGCCTCATACCCTTCTCCACTCTGCTGCCTGAGGACCTCCCTGGGGCAAATCTGATCAAGTGGCTTCCCTGCTCAGGACCGTTCTGGGGCTTCCCATCGCTTCAGGACGCCATCTAAACTCCTCAGCCCGGCCAGCAATGTCAGCCAAGAGCTGTGCCCCTTCACCCCTTATCTACCCACTACGCCTTCTTCCATGTCCACACCCCAGCTGCCCTGAAATCCTCCCAGCTCCTCAGCCACTTGCCCCGGGGCCTTAGAACAGGCTGTTCTCTGAATAGAGCCCTTCACCCTTCATCTTCTCATCCTAATTTAGCTCTTATGGTCCTGCCTTACTTGTCCAGGCCCTGCCCAGACGCAGTCAGGTGCCCATCCTCTTCCTTCCCGGGAAGCACGTGGTTATAATTACTTCTTCAGCACACTCTCCCTCACCCAACTGAGTCAGTGAGGATAGGTGGGGAGTCGGTCTTGTTCTCCCCCGGTTCTCTAACACCTGGTGCAGGTCCCGGTGCACACAGTGGGTGCATAATAAACACTAACTGCATGGCTGAAAGTCTTTCCTCCCCTTCCCCAACTGCCACCCACACATCTCTATCCCTGAACCCCAGGCCTAGCTTCCCAGGACCTGGTGTGGACCTGGGCCTTGCCCAGTTGGGTGTCCAGCCCCAAGCCCATGCCAAAGGCCGGTGGCTATCAGCATCCATGAATGGTGGGGTGCGGTGAGCTCTGAGCCCAAAAGCCTATGCAAAGTCCGTATTTCCCTGAGAAGAGCATGTAAGGCTGGCTGGGAGGGCCCAGGACTTCTGCTTCTTGTCAGAATTCCAGCATCTCAGTGTTGTCGTAGTTCATCCACAGTGTAAACATGACTTAAATCTCCACTACCTAATATCTGGGGTTTGACGGGAAGACAAATCTACAGAAATCAGAATTAGTGATGGGGCAAGGGAGAGCATTAGGCTGCAGACGTCTCCCACTAGGCATCTACTGTATGTCTGGCCCTGTTGTTGTTCCTGTCCCTAAAGGTGGGGTGTAGCTTAGACAGGGAGAGGCCCAGAAGAGGGCTGCTCTAGGCTCTCCCAGCACCAGGAAGCTTGGGACCTGCCCATTCATATTCCTCTTTCCACCAGGGTGACCTTATCCTACCACCTGGGGATGCAGGCTACCCCTGATCTATCCAACTCCTCGGGGAGGAAAGGAGGAAGAAACTGATGGTCGGAGTGGTGAGAGGAGTTTCTCACAAACCAACGTCAAGTGAGGACGAGAACAAGGGCTTTGAACCCAACTAAATTCATCTCCAACAATAACTCGCCAATTGTGGTTCCTGGCTGCTACAATTTACTGAATTTTGTGGGGAAAATACGCACGTCAGATGAGAAGACCACAGCCATATTCAAGGGCAGCAGTAACAACCTAAGGTTGTCAGCTGCCACTCACCTCCCACCTGCTTTATGATGGGGTAAACCGGGGCCCCGGCAGGTAAGGGACTTGCTTAAGGTCCCACACAGTGAGTTAAGGGCAGTATGGATTTATTCTGGCCTGGGAGTGGGGTCACTGAGGGGAGGATCCCATTCATCTCTCAGCACCTGGTTCCTAAATGTACAGAACATTTCTGCCATTTGCACTCCCCACGGTATGAGCTGAGAATGGCATAGCAGATGTCTTCCCCTGCAGCTAGCTCCAAAGCTCACGACTGGTTTCAAACAATGACAGGGAAGCAGAAGACTTCCCTTTTGCCAGAGCCTCTGAGTGGAAGTTTGAAGTGGGGTGCCTGGGCATGCTCTAAGCTACATTCCAAGATGGCGGGCAAGGGAACCCTGGTGGGAAGAGGAATGTGGCACATCACTGCCTTTGGGTCCTGGGTGGGAACGAAGCTTCCTTGTTCTTGGGAGAGTCCATAGCATCTCTTTGTTGGGACTTCCCACAACCCCCACCCTGCCATGGAAACAGCACATTTCCAATGTCTATGACCTGTCTCCATTTGACATCCCAAAGGCCCCTCAACTTAATCAGTGACCCAAACTGAGCTCATTGAGTCCCAGAAGTGCTTGGGCAAAGGTTATGTGCTCTGTTGTGGACCCCCTGAATTTCTCAACATGCCCCAATACACCTTCCTCTTTCAGAATGCCTTGCTTTGCCCATGCTGGTTCTTCTGCCAGGAATGCCCTTCCCTTTTTCTCTTCCTGACCAGCTCTTATCCTGTATATCCTGGGCTTGTGTATCGGGGCATGTTGAGAAATTCAGGGGGTCTACAACAGAGCACACAACCTCCTGCCCAACCTGACTCATCCGTCAAAACTCATCTCAAGGTAACTTTTGGGAGCAGCCCGTGGCCCCACCTCTCCCAGGCAGAGGTGTCGCTGGGCTTGTCAGAGGCCAGCATTTGGCAGAAGCTGAGTGAAAGATGGTTTAGCAGGTAAGAACGTCAAGCCCCAAGGAGAAAAGGCTAGCACCCACAGAAAGGCAGGGCAGAACTCACAACACAGAGAACTGGAGTGACCACGGCCCAGCTGTACTTCATCCACGGCCCAGGCCGATAGCCAATCATGTCCTCAATACCGTCATAAAGGTTATCGCTGCCTAGGAGAGACAGAGGTAGACGGATGGTGACGCAGTGTCCAACACTAGCATCTGAATTGCACAGAAGGGGCTCAAGGGCCATGAGGGGGTCCCTGGGGTCTGCTCCAGATCCCTGCTACTCGAGACCACAAAGACCCAAGAGTGGCAGGCGTTTATCTGAAATTACTTGAAATTCAAATGTAACTGGGCATCCTATATTTTTCAGGCAAACTTAGACAAGCCCCAAAACCTGGTGTGGCCAATCCAAGGTCTCAAGAGGGTTGAAATGGACCATGCCTGGATCCCAGAGCAGTAAATCATAGGGAGACCCCCGCATAGCCAAATTCTGTGTTTGTCAAAACATACAGTCATGCCCTGCATCTTCAGCAAGGGGAGAATACGCAGTGCGGCCACAATGGTATTATTTCTGTAGGGAAGGGGCAGTCCGGAGGGGAAAAGTCCAGATAGGGAAGGCCTTTGTGTTCAACTCAGAATGAATTCCCCTGAGAATTCTGTTTTGGAAGCTTCTAAATACAGAGACCCAAAGCAGAGACTTGAGGAAGGATATACAACAATCTGTACTCACCATATATCCAGGCAATAACAAAACATTCAAAGAATGCAACCCACAAAAGGCATACACCGCTAGCTGCATAGTAGTCAAAGAGTTGAAACACATACATGCCACCCTGTGAAGAAAAAAAACCAGAGAACGTTGGCTTGCTATTTGGTATCCAACTCCCTTAATATATAAAGAGCTTTGGCATATCATTAAGAAAGAAAAAACCCAAGAGAAAAATGATGACCAGATACATGTGTAAAAAGATGCTCAACTTCATGTTTGACAAATTTAATTAAAAACACACACTCAGAGGCGCCTGGCTGGCTCAGTCAGTGCAACGTGTGACTTTTGATCTCAGGGTTGTAAGTTCGAGCCCCATGTTGGGTGTAGAGATTCCTTAAGAAAATAAAATCTTTAAAACACACACACAGAAAAATGAAAACAAAACATGTTTTCCTTAGCAAAAATGATGGGTTTCCTGAAGCCTGCTTCCAAAGGAGGTGCTGAAAACTAACTGGGGCCAGCAGAGAATACTTCAGTGATACTGAGCTGCTCGGTGTGGACCTATGATCTGCTTTTGGCATGTGTGTGTGTGTGTGTGTGTGTTCCTTAGAGGCACTCTTAGAGAAACATTTATTTGTATTTCCGGTAGGAAAAAGTGGGGATGGGAAACCCAAATTGAGTTTGGGGGCAAATGTAGCAATTTGCTGGAGAATGTGGGGAGGTGGGTGGGCAGGGGCGCATGAGACAGCAGGCTATGCCAGGCTTCCATGCTTCTATTATTTAGCCAAGAATCTCTTTCTTTTCTCGCCTGCCTCTTCTTAGACAGCTGATCCACTGTTGCCTTAGACACTCCCGGCTTCCTTCCTCTCTGCTTCTTTCTTCCCATTTAGATGGATCCTCCTTGTGGCCCCTGCCCATCCTCTGAAGAGCGCACACTCCCGGTCAACCAGACAGGCCCGGGCACTGCCTGCAGTGTTTACCAGGGGGTCTGCATTTACCCTCTCGAACGTCTCCACCTCCCCCCAGGCCTGAGAAGGGCCACTGCACAGTCACAGATGAAAAGAGCTGCTATTAAAATGGATTTCAGCTCAAGTACCTCTCCCCCAGGCCTCCTGGGAGGAAGGGGGGACAGAGGGCAGGGGGTGGCCATGGTGTTGCCACGCTAACAGGAGAAAGGGCCCGGGAGTTTGGGTCAACTGCTGGGTCCTGAGCTGCCTCCTGCTGCCCACAGTGTAGGCCAGGTCCCCTGGGCAGGGTGGGATCCCTGAACTGGGTGGGGCCAGGAGATCCCCTGTCCTGGTCCTCCCGCCTAGCCACTGCCTTCACTGGTGGGGGTCAGGCCAACCCTGACCCGATCTTTGCAGCGTATGGAGGTCACCAAGAACCCTGCAGAGAGGATGGTCCCTCGTGCCAGGTGAGAAAGCCACCTACCTCCGTCACCATCGCCAGCCCCAGCAAGTAGCTGATGCTGCACACGAAGGCGATGAAGATTTCCCGACGGAAACCCTTCCTTAGGAAGGATGGGTAAAGATCGACCAAGGACGTGACCTGTCCTTCGACTTCAACAAACTGTGGAGGAGAAGAGAGTGGTTGAGCCCCAGGTGCCCAGCACCTCCCCTCTGCTCAGAGAGTCCCCAGCATGTGCAGAGTAGCCTGGGGGGTCAAGTCCAAATGTATAAACCTGACCTGGTAGGCTCTGCCTGGGGAGTCCTGCCTGCTGGTCAAGCCACAGTGGGCCACACACAGTTCTCCAAATATCCCACACATCCGTCTCTTTGCTTAAGCTCCTCAGAATGCCTTTCCTTCATCCTTCAAGACTCAGCTCAAGAATGACCTCTTCTCTGAAGCCAATGTTGACCTTCCGCCTTAGCCCGCTGGCTGGAAAATATGTGTTGGCACGAACACCTCCCCCCATTTCAGTCTTGGTCCTTTCTGATGCTGAGGGCAGTGTCCCCTCATTTCTGTGCCTTGAGTGCCCAGATGGGCCAGGCACGCGTGGCTGCCCAGCAGACACATGAAGAATGGGGAGGGGGCTAACTCAGGGCAAGTCTGGGCCCCACTTTCCCCAACAGATTCACACGGTGGGGTTTTAGCTCCGTGGGGATTGTGGATCCATGAAAGAATCCAAGTGCCCACATGTGTGAGCCAAGGGCTCACCGTGCCCCCGGGAACCCCTTCCTGGGCTCCCAAAGGGAAAGAAGCCCATTTGAAGGGCCCCTCCTTGGGTAATGTGCTAGGATCATTCTCAATCCCTCTAAATCTTTCCATCTTTGCAATTAACAATGTAACTTGGAGACTGATCCATATCATTACACGGAGAGCTGCCTCTGTTTTAAATGGCAACACGAAACTCTGTCCTGTGGACTCGTATCGTCATGGGTCTGACCGATGCCCAGTGGATGGGTTCCAGCCTTCTGCGGCTGCTGACCTGGGCAAGGACTCTTCCTCCCCCTCTAGCTGTGGTGCGTAGGTATCGCAGCTCAAGCCGGAAGCAAAGCTTCAGGGGTGAAGGGCACGTAGAAGCATTTTACATTTGGGTAGCCACAGCCAAACTGCTCTGCCAACCAACACACCCTCCAAGGCCTGTCCGTCAGATTCCTTTAAAAGTTGAAAAGCTAAAACCTTGACCTTTCTGTTCTTTCATCTGTGAGAGGCATTTGGGAAGGATGTTTCCCCAGCATTCCTACAAGAAAAATCCAACCACTTAACTCCTTTGGGATGCATCACAGGAGGATCAAGGAATACAAACAAGGAGCAAATCCCTTTCATGGCCGAAAGGGGCCGGAAAAATGATTCTTCATTGCCAGGAATTCAGGGAAAAGATGAGCAAGAGGCTCTTGAAAGGGGCCCAAAGAAAAGGGGCTGATGGTTTGACCTCTGATTGGTGTGTCAGCCAACGGGGTTTTGACCCTAAATTGCCACGGAATTATAGAAAACCAGCTCAAACATCAATCTTCAAAAGGAGTTTAGAAACAAAGGTCCTTTCCTTTTTGAGATGGGGAAATTAAAGACAGGAAGGAGCAGTGTCACTGTGAGTCAGGGTCAAGACCAGCACTAGCCCCTCATTTCCAAGTTCCCTGCCTTTCTGGAGAACACCGTCCCCACCCCTCAGTCCTGCTCCACCGGCCTCTTCAGACCTCCCTCACTGAACAGCTATGGAATCTGATTTCTCCAAGCGTCAGTCTTCTCCCCTGTACCATCGGGGGATCTTGCCTACTCAGTAGCAGGGATGTTGAGAAAGATGTGAAATCATGAGAGAAAAACTGGCAATAGCGTGATTGCTGTGAACCCAAGTCAGGGGCTGAGTGAAGTGCGGGGAAATGGGGCCAGCTCTCTCCTCCTCCAGTGCTGTTGGCTCTCTCGTGCAAGCGTCTGCCTCCAGGCGCATGGCATCCCTCCTCCACCTCACCAAGAAATACACAATGGTACGACGGATCCTAAGCCAAAGAGTGCTCCCCACGGATGCTAGGCATTTGGAGGGCATTTCCTTTACGTGCAAGGGTCACACTCCATCAGCGAGAGGCCTCTCTCTGCCTGAGGTTGCCTGGGGATCTCCGCGCTTCCATGGGAGGAAGCTATTTTGGGGGAACTCCAAGGTAAGGCCAGGGGGTATGAATTAACAGGTCAGGGAACGGGTGGCCCCAGGGGCAAGCCCATTCCTTAAACCAACTCTGCATGGCCTCGGCGGAGTCCTTGTCTCCCTCAGCCTCGGTTTTCTGGGCTCGACAGGGCAACAGCTGTGCCCAGCTCTAGGAACTTGTGTTTAATGGGGACAGAGCTTAGTTTGGAAAGACGAAAAAGTTCCGGGGATGGAGGGTGGTGACGGTCACACAACAGCGTGAATGTACTTAACACCACTGCACTGCATGCTTAAAAATGGTTAAGACGGTCCATTTTATGTTATGTGCATTTTGCCACGTGCAGGTACATCAAAAGCCCGGCATGAAGCCTTGCCCACAGGAACGCCTCGCATGACAGAGCTCCGACTGTATTCACAGTGCATGAGGCGGTCACCGGCATCTGCAAAACCTTCCCCTACAGCCCCGAGTTCACACAGCAAAGAGATGCAAAGGAGGGATTCCAAAGGAGGCCATCAGACTCCTGAGACATCATGCCCTGGCTCCTGGGGTTCAAATCCCCATCATGCTCTTCTTGGTATATCAACCAGGCAGGTCATTTAAGGGCTCTGAACCTTGAGTTTCATGTTCTGAGTGGAGAGGGTACCAGCTCCCCCTGAGGCTGGCTTTGAGAACTGGCCACGATGCCCCGAGCCTGTTGGCCACCACGAGGCCTAGCTCAGAGGTGCAGATCCCCAGCCAGGCCCCCCCTACCTCCCAGGGGAAAAACCTAATGAATAAACCACCTCTGCTCACTCAGGAAGCAGCTTCCACAGCCCAAGAGGCCCATTTGGGGCCCATGGAGATGTCATGCTTTGTCATTTATTAACCTCTCTCTGTTTTTGTTTTTTGTTTTCACTTAGAGCTTTGGAAGAAGTTATAAAAGCCATTTGCTTGGGGCCTCCGAAGGCCAAACTCATTAACGAGGGATGATTAATGGAGTCCTCTTGCTGTTTATACAGCTCAAGCCCACCAACAACTGCACAAGTATTTTGTTTTCAGGCTCCCAAATGTTTCCACTCTGTCTTCTCTGCTAATCCTGATCCCCATCCTGCCAAATCCTTCGCTCTGTTCTTGACCTCGCTGGCAGACTGCCTCCTCTCCTCTGCTCGACCTTCTAAGATGCTCCTCCTACCTGCTTCTGAGTCCACAAGGACCCAACCCTGGGCCCTGGTGCGGAGGCTGCTGCCCACAGGTAGGTGGTGAACCCCTCTCCTGACCTGGCAGCAGGCCTCACCTCTCACAGGGTCCCAGCTAACCAAAGATTTCCCAGGAGGCGGCCAGAGACCCAGACAACACAGGAGATGGCAAAACGCCGCCCTTTCAGATGTTGGCCCCCCGGGTGGCACGGCTTGTAGGGTTCTGGTCTGGGCGTACCACCAGCCCGCCCTGCATACCCGAACTCCCCGGTCCTGGAGTCATGCCCGTGCTCTAAACTGTCCTCTTGAGACACCCCCAAGGTGAATACACATATCTCCAGGAGAACGTGTCCAGGAGTTCACTCTACTGTCCTCCAAGCACCACTAGCTGCTCTGTGTCAGGCACTGTGCCTGGTACGTCATACAAGGCAGTGGAGGTATAATCATACCCATTTACCAGATGAGAAAACAGTCTCAGACAAGGGAGGCAAAGTGCCCAATGCCACACAGCAGCGTGGGGGCTTGCAGCTGTGACTCCAAAGCCAGACTCGGCCTCTGGTTGGCTCTCACCGACATACCCACTGGAGGCCTGAGCCCTGGAGGGATGGGATGTAGGGGTTAAGACGTGCAGGGCAACAGCCACACGCAGGTGGTGGGTATACGACAGAGTCCTGCCGTGGGAGGGCAGAAGTCAGGAGGGCCAGAGGACAGGGGCGGGTCTGAGCGAGGCACCCCAGTGCTTAGTTGTTCACCGAGCACTGGAGGATCACAGTTTCACTGCATGGGGAACAACTCCCGGGCTCCAGGCCTCACTGAACACCAGGTGGGGCTTAGGCCTCTCTGGCTGCACTAGGACAACCAGGGACGGCCTGGGCCGTGACTGTCGTCCCCGCCCCGAACTGCCTATCTGCCGCGTCACTCATGGGCCCCCACGGGACCCTCCGTGGGAACACATCATCACCACCTGGTCTTGTCCTTCTACTTCCCGTCTATGGCTTCGTTTTGACCACACCCTTCAAGTGTCCGTTTCCCCCTGGCTGGGGTCTAAGACTCGAACTCTGGGCCAGAGGTCCTCTTCCTGCTGCCCTGAGGCCTCTTCACCCCCACCCCCCGGGGTCCTAGAGGAAGCCTCGCTGGCTGCAGCTGGTGCAAGTCTGATGTGAGGGTGGGAAGGGGGTGACCATCTCACACACGGCACGCTGAAGGGGGCTTTCCCAGAACCCTGTTCCCCATGGGTGAGCCCTCCCCACAGCGTCCCCTCGACCCGTACCTACCTGGCTATCCAGTCCAAGCAAGAGAAGCATAATAAAAAAGAGAATGGACCAAAACGTGGGCAGCGGCATCATGGTCACGGCTTTTGGGTAGGCAATGAAGGCCAGGCCAGGCCCTAGAGGGAAGAGAGAATGGGGAGGGGCAGAGGGGGGGCACATTAGTGACTGAGCCCCCTGGAGCACTGGAGCTCACACAAAGACACTCGGGACTGAGGCGGTGTCCCAAACCCCAATGCAGGGAGGAGCCGGGTCTGAATTCCTGCCTGGGGGAAGCGCCCAGGCCTGCCTCCCTTTCGGACGGGGCGCGCTGGGGCTCGGGCGGGGCCCCGTTTTAGCATCTGTCTCCTAGGCAGCAGCACCCGTGGCCTCACAGAATCCGGCAGGCACCGGGCATTTAGGAGAGGGAAATGGGACTGAGCCTGGGACTGGGAGTCCCAGGGAGCCTGGGTTTCGGGACTGGGACTGAAGTCTACCGGCTTGAAAAAGGAGCCCCCCTCCCCCAAACCAGAGCAACCACGCCAACGTTTGCTGGAAGGAAGCAAAGGGGGAAAGATCTGGTTATCTGAACTACTGAAGCCCCCGTTTGCAAAGAAAAGTTTTCGACTTCTGAGTTAATGACTGAAACACTGTGAAAGAGTACAGATCTCTTCAGGGGTGCATCTGCGCACCCCACCTGAGCAACGCCACAGCCAAGGCCCAAAGCTGAAGGGAGGTGTGCGCAGGGCAAGACCCCAGGCTCAGGAGACCATCCGTCATCTCCTCTTTACATCACCAAGTGCCCCTGCAGGGCCTCAGTTTCCCCACCTGGGAAGTGAGGGGCAGGATCCCAGAAATGCCTCCCAAGGAGCCTTCTTGTGCTCAGATTCTCAGATGCTGAAACCACTACCCTAGAAAAGGGCTTCTGGTTTCTAAAGAGGGGACCCTGGCAGAGGCAGGGTGTGGGAGATGGGAGCCCCGCCAGCTTAGAGGGCACCTTTCTGACTGGAAACATTCCAGAGACAGAGGGAAAAGTCTCCTCCCGTCTCCAGGGGGCCTGAGGGGAGAAGCCAGGGGGAGGAACCGTAACTGAGGCCCGCAGGTGCAAGAGGCGGTAGGAAGCAGCAAAAGAAAGGAGGCCTGAAAGGGGCTGAAAAGATAAAATCCACAACTTAAAATAAATAAATAAATAAATAAATAAATAAATAAATAAATAAATAAATAAATTTTAAAAAGGTCAAGAAATGTGAAGACAAAAAAGGGCTGGAGGGCAGGATATTTAGAGCAGATATCAGAAACCCAAGGACTGGCTTAAGTATGAAAAACAAAAACAAAAACAAAAACAAAAAAACTGTAAAATAAATTGGAGCCAGAAACCACACCGTAGGGCGTGAACCACAACCGTGGCAGGCAGGGGCGAGCCCTACTGGCCCGAGTCTACCCGACTGAGGAAAACCCGACTGTGACCTGGCGTCCCCAGGCTGCGACGGTAGAAAACCCCACGAGAAGTGGGGGAAGGGGCGCTTGTACCAACCCCAAAGCCCAAGTTGGAACAGAAGCCGCGTGGGCACCTCGGCTGGGGCCCACGGGGCCCCCTCCACGCCAGCTCTGGCCCGACTGGTAGGCATCAGTGCGTGGGGATTCGAGTCCAGCCAACTGCGAGACAGATGTAAAATGGGGCCCCCCACCCCCCACCTGCCGCCCGCCACCCGCCACCCGCCGCCCACTGGGGCCTGGTGGAGGTTTTCTCAACGCGCTCGTTTCTGTATTTCAGTTTTGCCTTTGTCAAGCCAGCCTCTGGGAGAGGGTCTGAGCATCTTTCTCTAAAAGCGCACGGTGAACTATAGAGAGAGAAGTCCATGTGAAGGAACGCAGCCGCTCCGAGCACCAACGCAGGCCTCTCGGCGAGCAGAGAACGCGCCCCTGCCCGCGCCGTGTGCACTCCGTTCGGCTAAATAATGATCTGGTTCAAATGCACTTCGCTCAATATGGTGCTTGTTAAAAGCTTATTAGAGAAATAATCATCCTTGATGTGTCAGCTGTTCAGACATCACCGTGGGGAATAAACGACAAGGTGTTTGAAGTGGACAGGAGGAAGAAAACAACTTAGGGTGATGATATAGACAGATATAAAAATACCTAGTTGTCCACGGAGAAAGATCTATTTTTTTATCCCACCACCAAATTCACTCCACACTCCTGGCAATCACAACTGGTTTGTAAGCCCTCGACTGAAAAAAAGGCACTGCAAAGGAGCCGCAAATCGTCTCCCCCCTCGTCCCTAGAACTGTCACACTCCCAAGTGGGTGTGGATCTTTCTGGAATTACTTTGTGTCCTCAGTCTCCGGCCAGCCTCTTGGGGTAGGAAAGCTACGTTTGACGGTCGGGTCTGGGACTGGGGGCAGTGGAGAGATGCGTGAGGCTGAGCTGTGGACTTGCCACCCTTGTCTTGCAACACTGGGGGGGGGGCGGTGGAGGGTGGCAGAGAACATCTTCGCTAAGTGAGGATGAAAGCAGGGCCCCGGGCTCGGAGGTCAGAGAAGGTCAGAGGAGCTCAGGTGCATTCTCACACAGGGAAGTCCAGAGCTGTTACGTGCGTCCAGGGTGGGTGGGGAGGCAGGAGGTGGGGGGAGGTCCTCATGTCAGAGGGGCCTGTCCAGGAGACCCCAGCTCAGACCCTTACCAGCCCGAGCAAGGCCCTTGCTCTCAAGCCACTGGTCTCCTCATCTGCAGAACAGACGTCTACATGCACAAGGCTGAGGTATCCCTGACCCCCAACGCTAGGGTGCTGTGGATGAGGAACCAGGACACCGCCCAGTTTCCCACGAGGGCAAGGGCTCCAGCTGCGTCTGACTCTGGTCCATGGTAGTCCCTGGAGTTAGGACATCAGGCTCTCCTCTGGGCCTGAGAGAAGCCTCTGCCCAGGACCCTCGCCTGCCTCCATGTGGTCCCAGAGAGGTGGTGAGAAATCAGGAGGTCGGGTGCAGCAGAGGACGTGTACAAAATAACCAAACCTTGCACGCAGCTGATGACCACCCGCCAAGTGAATGGGCAGGATAGGAGTGAGGCGGAGAAGGGGCAAAGGTGGAATCTGGGGATCCTGGGAGCCTATGGTTCTTGTTCCCATATCCAAACCACTGCAGTTATATAGCTGCGGTTCTAGGACTTAGAACATCCAGGGGCAAGTCCTAGAATACTGCGGTGCTGAGGCTCTAGGATTCTAGCAACTGAAGACCTCATCATATTCAGGTTCCAGAGCCACCTTGCTGGAGCTCCAGGATCCCAGCCTGGGATCCCAGGCTTTACAGAGTCCATCATTCTAAGACTCTTTCCTCTACTTCCAGAAGGAGCACCCCACCAACAGGGCCCACACCCTGAGGGAGTGACACTGTCCCCCCCAACCTACCCCCAAATTGGATCTGTCACCGTCCCAGAGGGCGGCCGGCATGCCCACTGTCCCCCACCCGCCGCCTACGGTGGTGACTGACACAGGGCAGACTCCGTTAATCAAGAACATCGGTGGAATGAATGAATGGGTTTGCTAGAGGGAGCGCGCTGGGAGCAAAGTGCAAAATACAGAAACCAAAGCTGAGAAGGTGGTGATGGAATGCCGACTGGTGGCTGGCTTGGGCCTGAGTTAGGAAAGTGGTTTCTGTTGCTGAAACCAGGAGTTTGCAGGGGGAAGGAGAGGGAGGGAAGACCACACAAAAGTAGCTAAATAGTCCCCAACTTAACCAACCCCCACGTTCCTGCAGCCCCTTGGGCCAAATTGCAACGAAAGTGCTTAAAGTTTAGCTCTTGTGCTCTTTGATACTTTGGGGACATCTTGGTGGGGGGGGTCCGTTTCGGAAACCAGGCTCGTCCCCCCCCAAAGCCCCCTGGGGTCTGGCTTCATGCCTGCAGTACTCGGCTTACACACTAGGTGGCAGTGCCCACCACCACTGCCACCAATACCACCATACCTGACTCAGCCACATCAGCAATGTCCACCCCTTGCTCTTGTGCCATGAAGCCCAGGATGGAAAAAATTGCGAAGCCAGACACAAAACTGGTACCACTGTTCAGGCATCCCAGCAGCATACAGTCCCTAAGTTACACATATGTCAGGGAGCAAGTTAATTCACAACACAAGGAAGCCACGCTCCCTACTTCTTCTCTTTTTTCTTTAAACATCATCATTTCTAAGGTCCACCGGGCCCGCTGGCGTGACACTTGCCTGTACGAGTTGTACTTGTACTTGTTGTAGCTCCCCAGAGAGGTCATGGCCCCCAGGCAGATGGCATAGGAGAAGAATATTTGGGTCCCAGCATCAATCCACACCTATGGGGGTTGGGGTGGGGGTGGCAAGGAGAGAGAGAAGGGGCCAGTTAGAGCCAGCTTCCTGGAGGAGACGGTGCGGGTTCCCGGCCACCTGAAGGACTGCACCTCAAAATGTGCAGATTCTCGACGGCAATCAGAGCATTCGTGCTGGAATCCAAGGTGTCTTTCAAGGCAATATTGAGTTGCAAGGAAGCCCAGAAGTCGAAGAAACCCCCAGTCACTCAGTATCAGGATTATGAGGAAAGGCTTTTGGAGCAGATGGATCTGAATTCCAACCATGAAATGATTGTGAGCAAGAGGACTCCCGCCCAGAGCCTCGGTTTTCACATCTGTAAAATGGGCTCTGCTGCACTATTATGCAGGTTCTAAGAGTAAAGATTTAGCCCAGTGCAGACAGGTGGTAAGACCGTTAAGTCAAGGCTGCTATCAGGACTAATTGCTATTGTCTGGAGCGGGAAGGAATTCCCTAACGGATCATGCAGGCAAAGCTGCTCTCCAGAACCTTCATCCAGCAGCTCCGGAGGGCCACAAAGCTGCCTTCCCAGTTGTCCTCTGATGTTGGCCAAGCCCCCGCCCCGGCCCCCCCATCCTGCCCAGGGCAAGAGGGCAGTGAGGAAGAGAACCAAAGCAGCACAGGACCTTAGGGGCCACCTGAAGGCTGAGGATCCTGGAGACAAAAGGTCCTCAAATGGGTCAATAAACATCCCAGGGCTTTCTCCAACCCCTTGCGGTCACGTGGCCGAGTGCCCGGAGCTGGGCGTTCAGTATCTGCCCCTCGACCTTCCAAGAGCTCAGTACCCACTCTGAATTCCAACGTCAGCCAAGGAAGCCAGCAGCGCTCCTGGGCCAGCTCCCCCACCCCCATGATGCCGCCCTCCTGGCCGCTGCGGGCAGAGACCAGGGCCAAGGAGGAGACTAGCTCCTAAAAAGACTTCTCCCCCCTTTCCTGGCACAGCGCCTGAAGGAGACTGTGGCTGGCCTCAGCAGTCCCCCACATGGAAAGATACACACACAGCTGGAAAGGCCCACGAGCATGCTAGACAACCTGCCACAGCCCAGCGGAAAAGTACTGGGCGCTGATGGCCCGACTCGATTTGTGCCCCCAAGACCGTCGGCCTAGCTTTCCCCGCACCCTGCCCTGCCTGGCCCTGGGTGGGAGGGAGGACGGGCTGCCCTGCGGTACCTGCGGGTCCTCGAGGCGGCTGATGTCGGGGTACAGATAGAACTTGATGCCTGCGCCTGCCCCGGGCAGCGTCAGTCCACGGACCAGCAGCACCAGAAGCATAGCGAACGGGAAAGTGGCCGTGAAGTAGACGACCTGTGAGGGCAGAGAGTGATTCAGGGGAACCCCGGCATCAACCGCTGCTGTCAAATTCAAGCATTCTCCCCGAGGCCAGGGGTCTGGAGCCGAGCGTGCTGTTTCCCTTGCTCTGTGACCTTGCGCATGTTGCTTAACCTCTCTGGGCCTCAGTTGCCTCCCCTGTAACCTGGGTATAATACCAGTACCTACCTCACAGATTTACTGAGATTCAATGAAAACAATCCTGTAGATATTTACTGAATATCTAGGCCTTGGAAACAGAGTGGTGGACAAGACAGAAATCCCTGCCCTCACAGAACAGACATTTCTTTTTCTTTTTCTTTTTTTTTTTTTTTTAAGATTTTACCCATTTATTGGACAGAGAGAGACACAGCGAGAGAGGGAACACAAGCAGGGGGAGTGGGAGAGGGAGAAGCAGGCTTCCCGCTGAGCAGGGAGCCCTACATGGGGCTCAATCCCAGGACCCTGGGATCATGACCTGAGCCGAAGGCAGATGCTCAACGACTGAGCCACCCAGGTCCCCGGAACAGACATTTCTAATGAGTGAAGAAGGAAAATGCAAAATAAGAGTGTCAAATATCAAGTGTGTATGAAAAAGGCTTAGCCCCATGGTTGGCATGTGACACCACGTATTAGCTAACATTACAACTGTTAGTATGACTCTTAGGGTTACGAATCAGTCAGGTGAGGGTTCAAACCCCAGCTCTGTCCCCTCGCTTGCTGTGTGACCTTGGACGTGATGCTTCACCTCTCTGGGCCTATTCCCTTATGTATCAATGGAGACAACAGTAATAGAAGATCTCCATCAAGAGGGGAAGTGAGGATTCGATGAGATGGTATTTGGAACACCATCGAAACAGTGCCTGGCACGTAGGTGCTCAAGAAATGGGGCCTGTTGTCGACACTGATTTTGTAGGAAGTGCACACGGAACTCCTGGGAGGAAATGAAGCTTCTAAAGCCCCTTGGCCAGGAGACTGGGAAGGGCCCCCCCCAACTTACTTGGGGCCTTCGGGAGGCCCCACAGCCCTCCCTGGATCACACAGCACATCCCGGGCAGCCCAAGGTCAATTGGAGGTGGGGACCCAGAGATGGCCCAGGCTGGGCTGTTCCATCGCCAAGGGCCTGCCCTACTTCCTCTCCTTCTCCTCTCCCGAAAGCGCTGGTCTCCAAATATCCTGTACCCTCAGTTCTCTCGGATGGATTTTTCCCTATCTTTTCATTGACTGTGAGGCATTTCCAGGCAGGGTTCATGCCTGGGAGGAGCTCAGAGGTGCATGGCTCTGAACGGACGGCGAGATGCTGGTGTTTCCAGCAGGGCGCTGGCCGAGCAAGGACGCCCCAGGCACAAGGCCACTTGGTGCTCACCGCAGCCCACAAACTGGCGTGCTGGCCACCGTGCTGACAGAGGAGGAACGGGAGCTCAGCAGGGCTCGGAGACTTGCCTGCGTCATTCCCAGGGCGCGGGAGCTGTAGTCAGGGCCCGTGGAGGGTAACCACCTTGTTCTGAGCAAAGGCACCAGGCATTTTCACTTCCCCAACGCAGCACATACAGAAATTGCCTGTTGACCACCTGAAACGCTAAGACTGGGTCGCAGAGCCCCTGACTCCCTCAGGGCCTTGGGGGCCAGGGGACCAGAAAGGAATGACTACACAGCCAGTGTATCCATTTTACAGGTGAGGAAACCCACACCCAGAGAGCAGGATTAACGTGTCCGTGGTGCTGGGGGCTGGGGGCAGGGCCAGGTTACTGCAGGGCACTTCTGGGGCCCACGTAGGTACCAGACACCGATGGAGGGTGACGGAGCCCTGAACCCCAACTATCTAGCACAGAAACCCTTGCTGGAGCACAATTCTTAGACAGCCAACATCCCTGTGGGTAGAAACAACTAGAAAGGGGCTTTGGAAAAGGGCAAGGAGAAAGCTCTCAGGGCCTGCCTGGCTCAGCTGCCCTTGGCCAGTACCACCAAACAGCATTTATTGAGTGCTTACTGTATGCCTGGCACTATTCCAAGTGCAGTACTTCTGTACTTAGTTGGTCCCGCCCTAACCCTTTGAGGCAGGTTTCATTACTAGCCTCATCTTGAAGGTGAGGACGCCGAAGCCCAGGGAGTCGCCAGCTTGTCCACAGGTCACACAGCACTTAAGTGCCCCAGAGCGTGCCTCCAGACAGAGGCAGAGCAGTCAAAAGCCCTTCCCCGTCTGGTACTTTATTCGACCCTTTCAACAACCAGAGGAAGGCTGGACTCCCCAAGGGTGCAGGTCGGAATTCAAGCTCGCTGTCTGGCTTGCTGTGAGACCTTGAGCAAGCTACTGTCCCTCTCTGGGCTTCATTTTCCCACCCGCGAAGCGAGAAGCTCAGACCAGATGAGCTCTGGGGTTCCGTCCAGCTCTGCCGCTCTGGGCAGAGGGAGAGAGTGGCAGGGAGAGCCCACTCGGGGTCACCCGGGCTGGGGTTTGGATCCCACCTCTGCCACCTCCCAGCTGGGTGGCTTGGCCTCAACTCCCATCTGTATGAGGAGGAAAATGAGGGTGCTTACTTCACTCGCCATCCTCAAGAAACCTGAGCAGTGAAGACTCTCCTGCTGATCCCATTAGGCTACAGGGCGGGCCCTACGCCTGCCTCTGTGGTTCCCCTCCAGCCCCCGATGCCTTTTCTCCATCTGGGCCTCAGTTTCCCCAGCCACCCCCTCTTCTTCTCCTGAGGCAGAGAACCCTCCCAATTTCCCAAGGACAAGAAGGCAGGCTTGGAGGAAGGGGGCAGGTCAGGAAGCCACAGAAGGGGTGAAAGAAAGAAAACCAGCATGCCCCCACCCCTGCCCCCCAGGCTGCTCCTCCCTTCCTGCAGACAGGCCCTCCACTGGTTCCCACCTCTGGGCCCTGCTGTGGACCACACCAGGGGCTGGTGGCTGTCCCCAAAGCCAGCCGGGCCCCACTGGGCTGGGCAACCAGGCTCTGGCCAGAGGGCTTTGTGTCAGGGACACAGGAAACCACCCCGGGATGGGGGTGGCTTCCCTTTTTTTCATGTATTAAATCTGTTTAACAAGCACTTAAGGAGCACTTACTGTGTGCCAGGCTAAGAGCTTTATGTGCGTTAACTCATTTCATCCTCACGACAACCTGAAGAGGTAGGGAAGTGAACTACCTGCATATTCGAGAGGAGAAAACAGGCCCCAAGAGGTGACGTCAGGTGCCTGGGGTCACGGCGCTAGTAGGTGGAAGAGGTGGGACGGGACCCCTGCCAGCTGGCTTCAGAGTCCCGGGTCTTTTGTGTGTGTGTGTGTGTGTGTGTGTGTGTTTGCACGCACTTTACCACGGTTCGTCCCCCGATCCAAAAGAGGACAGCCCCACCTGCTCACACAGCCCTACCTGGTCACGCCACCTCATCTGCCTCTTTGGAAGCCACCCTTGTTTTGCAGAATTTGCTGCTGAGGACAAGCCCCTGAGAGCCATTCTCTCAACTTTTCCGTGACTCCCCCGGGATCCTCACAGGAGAAGTTGGTGCCAGCTGCCGCCAGTGGGCCTCTAGTGGTGGCCCAGCAGGCCTTGCCACGGGACATGGTATTTTTCCACTCTTGCTGGCAAGCCTCTGTGGTTCCTCTGAGCCCTTGACCCAAAAGCCCTGTGGCCCAACTGCCCTGGAAACTTGCAAGGACAACTATTCCTCATTCCCCTAGGGACGGCGGGGAGAGAGTGGCCCACAAGGCAGGAGGGAGATGGGCTAGTCTCCCACTGCCGCCCTGAACCTCCTTTGGGGGTAAAGGCCTGGGCAGCAGGGGTCACTCATCCCAAAGATGGAGGCTTCTAGAGGTGGGGCCATGGGTCTGTGCCTAGCACCTAGGCAGGCCCCGAGGGTCTTCACGGCACCCCTGTGTGTGCGAGGGGGGCATCACTAACTCCTTTCACATTAAGGGGAAACCAAGGCTCAGAGAGGGAAGGGGACGTCCCCAAAGTCATGCAGCTTGTGGGAGCAAAACTGAGATCCTAAACCGGGTCCGACTCTGACTGCCCACCCCCCTGCTTTGTTTTCAAGTGTGAGACGGAAGAGCTGGGGCTGCAGCCTCAGGACATGTCTGTGCTCATGTCCGTGATGACCGTACCCCCCTTTGGGTCCCCAGCACCGTACTTCCTGCGCGACGGTCTGGACTTGGCACCTCCCTGGCCTCATGCACTGGAGCAAGGACACGCCTGCCTCCCGTCCCCACGGTCAGGCTAGCCGAGGGGGAGGGCAGGCAGCAGGTGATGCTTAGGAGGTGGAAGAATGCAGGGCACCAAGGTGGGGAGCTGGGTTGCCTGGGTTCAAATCCCACTTGGCCACCGACACCTCAGAACATGAGGATGATGGAATGAGCTGTAATGGACAGCCCTGAGACTGGGGCCTGGCGCCCACGCATGACACTGCCTTCGCTGCCGTTATCACTGTCTGGTGTATGAATGAAGCCCCTGCAGATGCTGGGCCAAGGTTCAGACCCTTGGAATGACGACAATTACAAAAAGGGGAACTGAGGCTCAGAGAGGCAAAGTGACTTGAACTTGGGTCCTGAGCCGCCCAGGCCCTCCCTCCATCCACCCCCAGCTGGACCAGGGTCAGCCACTGAAGCACGGCCAGGGCCAGGATGAGGCCCGTCCTGATGCCCATGGGCCCAGCCCCCACAGTGGCCGTGAACCTGGTCTGTGGCCAGGGCTGGAAGCCATGGTTGGCGGCGGGCGGCGGGCGGGCAGGCAGACCATGGAGCTCAAGGAAGTCCACAGAGCCTTACTGTGTTTGTCTTGGCTTCTTGGGGCTGGCCCAGGCTCTGCTATTGTTCTGGGAGCCATGCCCGCCCCTCAGGGGCCTGGAGCGTGAGGAGGAGATTGTCTCCAGGGGCGGGGTAGGGTAGGGGGACCTCTGTCAAGTCACGTCTTCAACTGGCCACAGTTGCAGCCCGGTACCCTCTACTTTTTGATTTGGTTCTATCCTCCTGCCCCCTCTATTGTATCTTAAAGGTTGCCTGCTGTTTCTGGGAAACATCAACCTCCTCCATCAGACTGGGGGCTCCCCCATAGGTTTGGGTCAGATATACCTCAGGGCCTTTGCATTGGCTGTTCGCCCTGGAATATTTTCTCCTCCAGATACCCACGTGGCTTACCCTTCACTTCCTTCGGATCTGTGTCCCAAAGTCCCCCTTCTTGGTGAGCCTGCCTGGCCACCTCATTTAAAAGTGTACCCCAACACTTCCCGTCCTCCTTCACCACGTTATTCTTCAGTCCACACCTGACTCCTAGATATTTTACGCGCTCACCTTGTCACAACCAACAAATCTGTCAGCTCCCGCACCACAGAGATTTCGGTCTGTTCTGTGGACTCCCGAGTGTCCCCTGGCCCTAGTCCTACAACAGTGCCTGACGGACAGTAGAGGTTCAAAATGTATGAGTGCATCAGGAAATGATCATGTCTCCAGCATTGTTTGGGACGAGTGCTCCACAGAAACTTCCAGATAAACTCACCTCCACATGGGGAAACGGGAGGCACAGTGAAGAGAGCACTGGTGTTTAGGGCCCTGTCTGCGCCAAGCACTGGTGCTGGGTGCAGAGCACACCTTGTTGGAGCCTTCACCTTCACCCTTCTGTAAAAGAGGAAACCAGGGCTTCGAGGGGAGGGCGTGCCCCCAGACGAATCACTTCACCTCTCCCAGCTCAGCTCCCTCCTCATTTGAAGAAAGGCAGTAAGGAAACGGTTTGCACACAAGACAGAGGAGGAGGTGGGCCAACACTGGTGGACGAGCACCCCAAGGCTCTGTGGGGACTGCTCGAGGGGCCCCCTTCCTGCCTGTCCTGGTGGGACAATGTCAGCCTCGCCTGCTTCCTTTCCAGACTGGGTTTTAGGAACAGGCAGAGGGCCCTGCTCCAGACTCAGCCCCATTCTGCCTTTGCAATCCTAGAGACCCAGATCTTGCCCTGAAGTAAATGCTGGGATCTGTTCAGATCCACGATTTCACTTAAGGGGCTCTTCATCCAGGAGAGCATGGTCCTTAATGTAAATTCCAGTGCAGCAAAGGCCCCTTCTCCGAGTGATGTCACCCCTGCCCGTCACCGTACCTCAAATGCCACCTTAACTTACTCTTTGGACCTTCGGGGGCTTTTAGACCTCAAAGAGATGTTCCCCCTGCCAAGATGAGTGATAGGAGGGAAATGCTAGGTGGGGGCCATATAAAGGCAGATCGGCCAACTCCTTCTCTCTGGCCTAGAGCCTTGGGTGCAGGCTCACACCTCTGATCACCACAGACCCTTCCGCACTGACCACATCACAGTGACCACGATACCGGCCAGGGTCTTGGTTCTTGGGTAATTGTTCAAGTCTAAGTTAACAGGAAGTGTTTTAGTTATAGGCTGTTGTTTTCATTATGGGAAATATACCAGTTATACCTAAAACCTCAATGATAACCTAACATTTTAATGATCAGCTACCACCTTGGTTAATAGCTAACGTTCTAGGGTGCCTGGGTGGCTCAGTCATTAAACGTCTGCCTTTGGCTCAGGTCATGATCCCAGGGTCCTGGGATCGAGCCCCACATCGGGCTCCCTGCTTGGCAGGAAGTCTACTTCTCCCTCTGCCACTCCCCCTGCTTGTGTTCCTGCTCTCGCTCTCTCTCTCTCTGTCAAATAAATAAATAAAATCTTTAAAAAAAAAAAAGCTAACGTTCTAGTCATCGTGTAACATATTAAATCAGCCGCGAATATTTCAGTGATGGCTAACAGTTTGGTTAACAACTAACATCTTGGTTACGAGCAAATGACTTAATCATCACCGAAAGCTTTCCTTAATAACTAACATCTTAGTCTCCAGCCCAAGTGTTAGTTGTGAGAGAATTCGCACAGACTTAGCATCAGCAATCAGACTTAGCAGCCAAACTCCAAGGCTGTGCTTCTCAAACCTCCAGGTGCATTTGGATTATCTGGGGATAACCGTTCAACCGTGGGTTCTGATTCTGTAGGTGCAGGGCAAGCCCATGGGTCTGCATGTCTAGCAAGTCTGTGGGGAATGCTGATGCTGCCCGTCGGGGCACACTCTGCCAAGCAAGGGTTCGTGTTGTGGGTGGATCGCTGGTAATCAACAGTAAGTCACCAGGTCACCTTGCTACCTGCTAGCTTATCAACGCCAATGTTTGTTATCTGCTAACATCTGCACTACCACCACCAACATCTTGATATGGGAACCAGTGGTGTATGGGAGCTTGTGCAGGCTCCAGAGAGCCCAGCACCTGACTTTCAGGAATCTTGTTAGCTAGTTGTTAAACCATCGGTAACTTGAAATCAGACATGGTGGGAATATTTACACCATGAAGTGGGCAAATGCAACAGAGCAGGCCTTATTTTCTTTCAGAGGACTGCTTTAGCAACCTATGCTGGCTCTTCGGTCTGGGCCGGTTTCAAGCAGGAGGGCCTGGGGGGATGGGGATAGAGTCTCTGCTGAGGGTAGACCCCCCTGAGGCAGGGGAGGGACAGACGCACAACTCACTTTCCCCGTGGACTTGACGCCCTTCCAGATGCAGAAGAAGCAGACCAGCCAGACAAGGAGAAGGCAGAGAGCAAGGTCCCACTTCAAGGAGCCAGGGTCGTCGATTCCTGAAGACAAGCTCAGCACGTTGCGCCTTCAAGCAAACAGAGCCACAAGTCAGTCGGGCCGGGCCCTGGGGCAGAGAGAGCTGAGGCCAGGGCTCCAACAGCCTGGGGTTGAAACCCTGGCTCAGGCACCGTGTTTCCACAAGCCCCCTTGCCTCTCCAAGCCCTGGAATCCCCATGGGTCTCTGAAGCAGTACCCATCCACGTCACAGGGTTGTGGAGAAGTCAACAAGGGGATAGATTCGGACTCCTACCTCAGGTGAACCTGGGATCAACCCCGCCTGGCCTCGGGCAAGTTAAGTACATCTCCAAGCCTCAGTTTCCTCATCTGTAAAATGGGTACTAATTCCCATGTGATCGATTCTCAGTAGACCCTTCTTCAGTGCCCATTTGGGCCAAACAATGGGTTCAAACTAGGCTCTACCGTGTAAAATCAATGGCTTTGATTTACACTCTCTGTCCCAGTCCTCTTTTATGTTATTCACCCCTGTTTCTTATCTGGGTCTCCATGAAAATGTAAGCCTCAAGAGGGCAAAGTGTTTGTTCTATATGTGGCCACAGAGCACCTGCCCACCTCTTTACAGGGATCATTGTCAAGAGAAAACCCACACAAAGTACTAACGATAAGATCCGGGGTGAAGCCAGCACTGGGTAAACCTTATTGTTTCCATCCTAGCCTTGAGATGCCCAGAGCAGCTCTCGGCACCTAAGCAGTGCTGGTCTCCTGCCCCCAACTCCCTGCAGGATTGTGAAGGTCTCAGGAGGAGGCAGGTAGACGGTCTGAAGGCTAATCGGCACAGAGCAACCACCAGCCCTGCCCAGCATCACGCCGCAGACGCTGGGTCTTTGGAGTCCAAGAACCTCACTGACCTGCAGAAGACGCCTATGGGCACCTGCTCGCAGACACATCCCTGAGGGGCCGAAGCCATCTGAAGTCGGGGTGGGGCAGCGCAGGGTGCTGGCAGCCAGAAGCCACAAAACTCAATGCCAAGAAACTGTCCCCATGGTCCCAGAGCTCTGATACTGAAGCAGTGACCAAGGGCGGGCGCATCAAGCACAGGGACGTCAGCCCGGCCCCCCACTCCATCAGGGTCCCCCGTCCCCTGACTCCTAGGCTGCTGACCACGGGAGACAGGCAGTTTGTGCTCCTCTGGGAAAAGCGGGGATTCCTTCTGACCAAAGTTAGCTCCTGGTTTCAAGGCCACACTCCAGCCCAAGAGGCAGAGAGAGGGTATGACTTCGTGCCCCAATATCCTCTTCTGTAAAACACAGATAACAGCTCCTGCCCCCAGGCTGCTGCCTGGGAATGCATTCGAGACCATTCCCTAGTTCCCAGCCAGTCAGTGGTCAGGGCTCTGGGTCTCGGAAACCCCGCTGGACCAGGACACTTCATTGCTTTTCCTTTTTTTTTTTTTTTTTCCACAGAAGCTTCAACATGTGGACCTTGAATAAACCCAAGATCCCCATCTCAAGTGGCATCCAAGTGAGGCCTTTCTTTGGGCCGCCGCCGTGCTCCCAGCACCTAGAACGACACAGGGCACATAGTAGGGCCTCAGTAGATACCTGTTGAGTGAATGAACCAAGGACTCAACTGAGGTGACCGGCAAATTCACATGGCACTCGGAACCAAGTCATGAAATATTTCCATTCACCTTAAAAAGGGGCAGCATTCCTGTCCTTTTTTTTTTTTTTTTGGTGAGAACCCCGACATCAAGGGGCTCCCCTCGGGCACCTCTGACAATGTGTGCTCAGAACATCCACAAGGCCTTTCCAGTTTATCTCATCTGATCCAAGGACGAAAGGCCATTTGCCCCATTTTACAGACGGGGAAAACCGAGGCCTGGAAGATTCAACCGCCCACAGACACACAGCCAGCGGTGGGCAGAACTAGCACCCTACACCCAAGCCTGCCAGACTCCCAAAGCCACTGCTCTGTGGACTCCCCCGCACTGCTCCTCTGATAAGCAGGGAGAATAGAGCCTAAACTTTGAAAAGAATCTGCCCCGTCCCCCTGCTATGGGCCAGGGTCCCCCTGAAGCCTCAAGCCAGGGGGCATCCCCACGGGGCAGGCCGTCCGCCAACCGCGCCCCGGCTGGGGCCCTGCCAAGCACGTGGGTCTGGCGGCGGTGGCTGCTTAGAACAAAAAGGCCTTCCCCGTGCAGCCTCCAGCGCCCGGCGCCTTCAATGAAGGCCCGGGGCATGCTGGGCAGCGGCCAAGGCTTCCTTGTGAATGGGCAGCGTCAGGGAGAGAGAGTGCTTCTCCACCTCCACACCTTGGCGCCTGCGGCAGCCACACGGTCCTCGTGCTGCCAGGGAAGCCTTTCCTGCCGCTCGGCGGACACCTGACTGGAGTCCCCGGCCGTCTCCCCGGCCACCCGCTCCCGCCAAATGTCACCTTCGGGTGAAAAGGCTGTCTTGCCCACCAGCCTCCGGACGGCCCGAGGACAAGGATCTCACAGGCGGGCACCCAGCAGGTGCTCAGCTAATGCTGAGGAGGGGCCCCGCCTTTTCTTTTCTCTTCAGGCCAGGTCGGCTGAGAAGCTTGAATCCGCAGAGCTCAGACCACACCAAGCCCCTCGGTTCCCGGACACCCTTTCTGCCTTCTCCTACTCCTGCGCTCCGTAAACCAGCCGGGCCAGCCACAGATGGCAGGCAGGCTGGCTCTGGGCAGCTGACCAGCTACGGAAGCCACAACGGGGAAACCGAGTCTCCACCGCTGGTGGCCATCTCCTTGGAGGAGCTCATGACACCTCCGGGTGACACTATAAGGCATGTTCTCTTTGACCCAGCAATATGCCACTCCCGAGCCTCTCTCCCATGATAACTCTTGCACGTGTGGCCAACGACGGGGTCCAGCCCGAGCTAGTCATCACAGCACTGTCTGTAGGAGCAAAAGACTGGAAACCACCCAAACGGCCATCAATAGGGGCTCAGCAGCACAGAGAAGACACACAGTGTAATGTCACCCGGCCCTCGAGGTGGTGGGAAAGCTCCCTGTGCGCAGATTAAGAAACGGTATCCCGGAGATAAAATAAGTATATAAAGCAAGGTGAACCGTGCTTATGGCATGCTCCCTATTGTGTTAAAAAGGGAAGGGGGTGGATGTACATTTGTGCTTGAATGCGCACAGACTATTTTTGGCAGGACACACAAGACGCCGCTGGTTGCAGTCAGTCGCTGCCTGTGGGGAGGGGGGACCTGGTGGTGGGGATGCGGGGGAGGGGAGTGCACTTGGCCTTGGGTATCATTTTTTCTACTTGAATGTTTTTCTCTTTGAATGTTTGATGTTTTTAGACGAATGATTCAATGTTTTTAATAGCACCTTTATAAAAATTATTTAGAAGTCTTGAAAATGTTTGTAATGGGCCGTGCAGACGTTCTAGGAATGGAATGAATGTGTCTCATCAGTCAGGGGTTGTCAAAACAGAGCCCAACGTGGGCTCGGGGCCAAAGTGACCGACATCCTTTCCAAAGATAGCCTTGGGTAGCCGTGGAGGCCGGAGTGTGTGTGCGGCCATCCGAATCCCTTTCTGAAGGGACCCCCGCGTGAAGGACCCTCCACAAATCCCTCCCGCGTGGGACTCCCACAGCCTCAGCCCCAGAACAGCAGACAGGGATCTGTTGGGCCTTCCCACGGTGGTGCGTGAGAGGGCTCAGTAAACTGTAGAGTGCTGTGCCCCAGAGGGACAGCCATGGCGCACTGCCCCTCAGCAGTCTCCTAACCACCCCAGGATACTGCATGGTACCCCAAATCCAGCCACATGTCCCCAGCACTGCCACCACTCCTGTCTGGACTCCCACTGCTTCCCAGAGCTTTTTCAGTGGCCTCCCCACTTGTCTTCCTGCCTCCACGGTCACCCTCCCCCCCAGGTCTGTTCTCATCGAGAGAGAATCTGTCCAGACCCAAGATGGGTCACACCACTCCTCTGTCCCACATCCTCCCATGGCTCCCACCTACCTGGCTAAAAGGCCCCCCTAACCTGCCCCATCCCTTTTGGCCTCCCTGAATAAGGTGGCCAAATACTCTTATCATTCAGACCTATTAATAAGGACACTGGGACCACAGGTATATAAATGAGACATGTCCAGGACAAGTTTATGTATGCTTGTCCCATCTTGAACCTCATCCCCCATATGGCCCCTTCAGCCAGTGTCTTCTGGTATGATCTCTGAATAGATTGAGCACATTCCTGCCTCAGGACCTTTGAACAGGTTGTTTCGTCAGTCACTTGTTATAGGACATGCCAACTGCCTCCCTGTGTCATTTCAGGTCTCTGTTCAAATGCTACTTCACTGGGGCAGCCTCTCCTGGCCATCGGATAAAAAGTATCCCTGGTCACTCTCCTTCCCCTGCCCTGGCTTTATTTTTCATCATTTGTCATCGCTTTTATATTACAATTATATTTGTGCTATCCATTTAATGTCCGTCTGTCTTACTAGAATGCCATCTCCACGGAGGCAGGGCCTGTGTCTGATCCCTGCTGGATCCAGAACAGTGCCTGGCACAGAGTAGGTGTTCAATAGGCATTAACTGAGTAAAGTAACCGTACCCATTTGGTTGATGGGGAAACTGAGGCTCAGAGAGGTTCAGGAATTCGCCTGACATGACCCAGATAAAAATCAACCCTGGGCCTGGATCCCTTTTTCTGATGCTGCCCTGGGGACCAGCCACCCATATGCCTGGTCCTATTCTGCCCTTCATGAGGGCCCTCAGAATCCCAGGCTTCCCTGCATCGCTCATACAGAGGGAGGAGAACCAGAGGTGAGCTGCATTCTTGTCCAAGAATAGTAATGATTCATTCCAGGGTGGGATCCAAAAAAGAATCGCCTGGACGTCTGTTGTGAGTCGGCCGCCCCGCTGCCGTCCAGCCGGCACTCAGATGTAAATACGTCCTCCGAGTGGGCCAAATCGTTTCCTTTTGACTGCCGGCCAGCCATTTATTGGCCATGGCTCTTCCCTGGAGACTGGCGGAGGCAACAATTATAAAAGAGCCCGTCCGCCCTGAGCATGGGGCCACACAAGGCTTTCTCCACCGCCTCCTCCTTCCGACAGCTGCAGAGGAAGATTGGCTGAGCACGGCTTGTTTGCAAATATGACTCATTTCTTTGATTCTAATAAAGTCTAATGATACGTGCTGAGCTCCCAGGGGGCTCGGGAGGAACCAGGGAGGAAGGCATGGCTCCGGACAGATCTGGCCCCGCCTGTCTTCCAGGGCTGGGGTGAAGCAGGACCCTCGGGACAGAGCGAGGACCCCAGAGCAGGGACCAGCAGGATGAGGTTAACCGGGGGCAGAAGCTCTGTTTTCCGTCACAGAGCAACTCTGAGTCAAATCATAAAGCTAGCGTGAAATGACTGTCTCAGGGGTCCCGGTGGCTTATACGGGGCTCTGTAAGAGGACATCTCGCCGGCTCCTGCTGACAATGGTGCTTTAGCGTTGCAGATGAGGTGGGTCCACACCAAGAGAAGACCCCCGAGAGTGGGTCACATACACACAGCACAATGTTACCTGTGGCCGTGGACTTGTAGCTGGTGGGGACACAGATACCAGTGTTGGAGGTGAGGGCTGGGAGCTCTGTTCTAGCTAGCTGCTTGTGTAACCTTGGGCAAGTCACTTAACCTCTCTGGTCCTCAGTGTCATACCCAATGAGCCATGACTGGAGGCCCTGTCCTTAGCACATCACTTGTCCTAGCTCTTTAACTCGAGCCAGACTGTGAGGTGTTGGAACCATGCTATCCTCAAGGTTTAGAGAGGTGAGGTGACTGCCCTGAGGTCATGCAGCTGGGACGTGTGGGGGCCAGAGGCAGGCTCCCTGCTCTAAGGGACCGGAGCATCACCCATGCTCCCAACTCTCTCCTCTAGTAAAACAAGAGAGGGGGAGGGCGGCTGGCAGGGATGATCAGCAAATTCCTTCCCTGTCCAGGGCCATAAGGAAGTCTCAGCTTTCATAGTGCCGTGTTATCTTGATTCCCAGGGAGCTCCCAGACACCCGTCGGGTATTGGTCCACCTCAAGGACCCACACGTCTGCTGCAGGTGAGAGAAATGGAGATAAACATCGGCTGGGGCTGGGCTTTGGCTCCAGGGGCATGGAGACCAGCACTTTGAGAGTATCCTCACTGTTCTGCAGCCTAACCTGGTACCAGTCACTGACACCTCAGTAATGTCCCCGTGAGCCTCTCCTAATGGAAACCCCAGAACCAGTCACTGTAGGGCCAGTGGCTATTTTCGGGGGAAATCATAGAAACTGTTTCACCCCGGAACCCAGACCCACTGATGGCTGAACCCTCTGAGGCCCTGTATACAGTTGGTGCTTAATATATGTCCTAGTCTCTCTCCCACTAGTGTGTTCCTTGAGTAGATTCAATCATGTCACTCCCCTTCTCGTATACCTTCCATGGTTCCCCCTCCTAGAGAACAAAGCTCAAACTTACCAGGCTAACATTCGAGGCCTCAAACCTTCTCCTGGTCCCATGTGTTCTATGCTCTGGCCAAACTCATGACTTAATGGTTCCCAAACACTTGTGTGTGTTCAGAATGCCATGCCTCGGCATGGGCTGTTCCTTCTCCCCAGAATGTCTTTTTGCTCTCCCTTTCAGCCTAGTGTGCTCCTATTTGTGCCTCAGAGCCCAGCTCATATGGCCCTTTCATTTGCAGATGAGGAAACTAGGCCTGAGAGGGGTAGTTAACTTGCTGCTCCAGGCTACAAAGCCAAGTGGATGCAGACATGGAATTAGTAAGAAGAATCAGCATCCAGTGAGCACTCACTGTGTTCAAACACTCTCACTTAATCCTCTCTGGCTGAGCCAGATCATAGTATGGGAAAAGCCACGAGAGGGTTCTGAGCTGAGAAATGCCATGTTTGGATTCACGCTTGTTGACTTCAGAGCTGCAAGGGTAAGGCAGGGAGAGGACAGTCCAGTGCTGGGGTCTGGGGGAGTGATGCTGGGGGTCTCATGGAGAGGCGGGGGACTGCAAGTGGGGAGAGTAGTCAGACTCTGGGTATACTTGAAAGGGAGAGCCCAGAGCATCTGGGAACTGGATGTGAGATTTGAGGCAGGCAGGAGTTGGGGATTCCCATGTACTTCCCTACCTGAAGGGTCTCTGCAAAGATGAAATGCCAAAGAGAGGGACATGTCCCTGGCACAACGCTCATGGGAGCTAGTTATTCCACATTAGTTCTCTTTCCCTTCCCCTCTTTCATGTGCAGGAGAAGGGAAGGCTCTGGAAGGCCGGGGACTGGGCCCTTCTCACCTGTAGGGCCTGGCCCAGGGCTGCACTGAAGCCCCCAGCCCTACTCACTGGCCTCAGCCTCTGCTCATGCGTGGCGGCGGGCCTGGTCTCCTCAACTAAGCCTGCATTCCAGGCTCTTGCTCTGTGGACCCCAGTCCTCCCCAGGGTTCCAGAAAGAGGGCAAGTTCTTTGTGGATGTTCAGGTGGGCTCACAAAGTTCAGCTAGGACCCGAAGGCTGGAGTGGGAGGTGAGCACCAGGCAGGTGGCCAGTGCTCTGTGGGCTGAGAAAGTCCATCCGGATCCTGTGGGCCCTGGGAAGCTGCCTGCAGGCCCAGGACATTTCCAAAGATAAATCCTGTCTTCACGGCTACCAGGCCAGAAAGGGCAGCTTGGGTGCTCAGAATGGGGATTCTGGAAGGCAGGAGCCCGAGAACTCCCAAGAGGGCTGAGTGAAGGGGACAGCTGGGTGAGAAGGCATGGGGAACAACTGGACCCCCTGAGGACCTCATGGCTCACGGGAGCCCCTTCCCGAGAGCCCTCAGGCCTATGACAGCAGAGATGAGCCAGAAGGACAGCCCCATTTGCAATGGCAGGGGCGGAGGGGGAGGGTATGGGCATTTGAGAAGGGGCCACTCTTTGTCCCTCTGAAGGTCAGGTCACTTGAGTTCCAAACGCCCCTGGAGGGCAGTTTGATCCACTACGAGGGCACTAAATAGATAATAATGGCCTGCATTTCTCAAGCAGCTTCTCAGGACTGGCCATGCACAGTCTCATTCAGTTAGGGCAACCCCACAACGCTGGGAGGGCAATGCTAGGATCTCCCCAAGCACAGGTGAGGCCATCGGGGCCCAGAGGGGCAACAGCACCTGCCCAAGCTAGAGGTGACAGACCGAGGGTTCATGAAAGCCCAGACAACCAACCCAGGCCCGAGGCAGTAAGGCTCCAGCAGGCACCCAAGTGGCTGGTTGAGTGCCAGTGTCCTGGGCGGGGTGGGCTGTGGGTGGTCAGGCTGTGCCAGGAACAGCCTAGGACAGACAGGGCTGTGGTTTCGGGCCCCATTCAAGTGAGAAGAATGAAGTGCCCGCATTTCTTTGTCTGTAAACTCAGCTCTCCAGAGGGTGTGGCATGGAGGGGGTGATGAGTGTGCTTGTAATGTGCTCTTTGTCTGCAAGTGGAAAATATGTACACACAAAGAAAGAGACCCTGTCCAAGTAGGCCTAGGGACTTCTGAGCATCGACCGCAGGCTTGCATGTCATGACAAGGACAGGGACCCCCTGACCGAGGGCCACCTGACCCTTGCTTGCCCACGATTTCCTGGCCCTGGCCCTCAAGCATGGCTGGGACTGGCCAGCAGGCCACCCCCTCTCTTGTGGGTCCGTTGCTGGGCTGGGTTCTCAGAGGTGGGAAGACCCTTGGAAGCTGCAAAGCTGACCCAAAAAGGAGTATCATCTCATGATGATGAGGGACCACCCCCATCCTTAATACTGTCTCCTGCCCCCCGCTATCAACTTCATCTCCAGGATCACTGGGGCTGTACGCAGGTGCTGAACCCCGAGTTTCATAGATCATGAAGAGCAGGGAAAGTGACCCATGAGTGCTTTTGCGATTGGCCTCCAGGCACTGTGTTCAAAGGACTCCCCTGTACGTCGGCTAAGAGTTACCCAAACTTCAGGTCTCCACATTCCGCCTTTCTGATGTTTGTCCTGCGTCTATACTCCCGTAGCTGCTGACGACATGGTGGTTCTCCCCTCCTCTCCTAAAAAGACAGAGCCTCTCTCCCCACCTCCTGGATTGGGTTAGTCTATGGCTTTCTTTGGCCGATGGGACATGAGTGAAAATGATGCCGACAGAGTTTTGAAAAGAACTCCTGCACAGGGGCTCCCCCATTCGTGGTCACGTGCTGAGCCGCCCGTGAACAAGCCCAGGCTGGCCCACTGGGTGATGGGCCCATATGGACCGGTTGTCCCTGGCACCCCAGCCAATAGCCAGCTAATCCCCGGAAGAGCTATCCTGATGTCCTACAGCTGACCTACCCACGGGGGAGCCCCGCAAAGACTGGCAGAACTGCTCAGCCAACCTCAGTCCAAAATGCCAATCAGCAGAACCATGAGCCAAATAAATGGTCGTTGCTGAAAGCCACCAAATTTGGGGGTGACTGTTACACAGCAAAAGCTAACTGATAGATATTTTTTACTCTATCGACTCACCTTTTCGCTTGAGTAACTATATCAGCTTCGTATGTGCATTTTTCTCTGTGCAGTAACAGGTTTGATGTGCTAACTATATTTTTTTCTAAAATACATTAAGAAAACTATATCATTTTCAGACAACAGAAGTACATATACCTGCATACGGGTGTAGGAACGATTCATTCCCCTCATTTGACAGTTAAAGAAACTGAGGCTCAGAAAGGGGCAGTGACTTGCCGAAGTTCAAACAGCCAGTAAAATGGCAGAACGGGGATTCGGTTCCAGGCCTGTCTGAGACCAAAGGCATGGATTTATCTCCAAATCCGCACCCTCCCCCCCGCCCCCCACCCCGAGATAGTGACAACCACATCCCTGGGGAGAAGATGAGGGAGTGGGCTGTCCTCTCTGCCCCCACCCACGTCCTCCCTCCTTCCTTCAGCGAGGCTGGCCTTACTCCCAGAACTCGGTGACAGGCGAAGTGAAGTTGTTGGCGCTGAGGGTGACCCACAGGCTCTTATTCCTGCGCATAGTGTCTTCCATGCACTGTGGTGTGTTCCAGCTGTGGTTGCAGTGTGCCCAGGGCAGCTCCGACTGGAAGGACTGGAACAGGTAGTATGTGGCCCAGGCCAGGATGATGACGTAGTATATGTTCAGGAGGGACACGATCACGATGGAGGCGTAGCCGATGCCTGTGGGTGTGGGCAAGAAAGAGGAGCCTCAGGAGGGAGGCCAGACCTACCACGGCCACATAGTCAACCCTGGTATCTCTAGGCCTGGGGCCAGAAGGGGCTCTTCAACAAGGACCAGCAAATATTTGTAGGATGAATGGATGACTGGACAGATGATGAAACAATGGATGGTCCAAAAAAAAAAAAAAAAAAAAAAGAATGGATGGTCCGATAAGGTGGAGGAATGGAAGGATGTATAGAGGAGGGATAGCTCAATGAATGGATGGCTAGGCACATAGATGGGTAGATGGATGGATGGTTGGTTGGTTGGTTGGAAAGACAGCTGAATGGATGGATGTTGGACTGATGGATGGATATCCAATTTGTTGATGGATGTATGGATGGTGGTTGGTTGGAAGGTTAGGTGGATGAATGGATGGATGAATGAGTGGATAGCTAGCCAGAAAGATGGATGGCTGGTCTAACCATTGACTAATGGAAGAAAGTTTACTGGATGGATGGATGGATTTATATAGATGAATGAATGAACAGATCCACACATCCTCCCAACCATGCCAATTATAACCGTAACAGTGATTATTTTATGGGTGCATACTAGGTGTGAGGCACAGGACTAAATGTTGTAATGATAATAAAGCTACCCTTATTTGGAGCTTACTACGTATACAAAGCACTTTTACATAGCTATGTCATTTTGTCTTCATAGCGACCCTATGAAGTAAGCACAGGATTTCCATTTTATAGATAAAGAAACTGAGGCCCAAAGGGATTAAGTGACTATTCCAAAGCAACAAGAGTTTGAGCAAGAGGAGGAAGTGGGACTTGCAGCCATAGACTCCTGATCTGAGCGCCTCTCTTCTGCACTACATTGCTAAGCAGCTGCAATCCTTCAACGACCCAGAGGTGGGAAGAGCCCGGACGTGCTGAGCGGCTATGATGGGCAGCGGCATCATGGGAATAATGTGCCACCTGCTACCCTGGGTCAGGCACAGGCACAAGTGGACTTGCATGAGGCTCCAGTGTACCTGGCAAATAGCAGGTGCTCAATAAAAATGTGCTGAACCGATGAACACCAGGCCCCGGGTGACCTTTGTCCCATACTCACCGGAGAACAAGGGGCAGATCTTTTCCCAGCAGGTGATGCCCCCTTCAGAGGTGTACTGGCCTATGATTACCTCTAGGAAAAACACAGGCAGGCCGCCGCCAAACAGGAAAATAAAATACGGTATGAGAAATGCACCTGCAGAGAGAGCAGAGTTGGTGAGGGTCAGGCTGTGGCTGTCACGGGGGCCGCTCCCAAGCCCTCCCAGCCAATGAGATCCAAGAGAATGAGTGAGGGACATTGGGATAGAGGCCAAACTCTTGGACCTGGTTGAAAAGTCTCCAGGCCTTGCCCATCTGTCCAGCTGACATCACTTTTCCAGTGGGCCTTCTCACCTCCTCCAGATGCACCAGGTGCTTTTTTAAGCCTCTGAGCCTTTGCTTACGCTGTGCCAACTACCTGCCTGCCTTCCCCACATCCGTCCATCTCAAACACGGCTTCCTCATGAAGCCTTCACCCGTCCTTCCCCAGGCCCGCCCAGGGCAGGCAGCTAAGAAGAACTAGCGAGGAAGGGTGCAGTGATGAGAAGCAAGAGGTGGGCATCTCCAGCTCGGGGTGGAGCCAGGGGAGGAGTGAGGGCAAAGAGCCAGGGCGAGGGTTCCTACCTGGTGTCCACTAATGGTTTCAGCGGGTCCATAAACCCTTTGAAACTGTGGGCAACTTGGGTCTATGGCTATGTGCTTTGTTCTCGGGAGCGTCTAGGGCACTCATCAGAGTCCCAAAGGCGCCTGAGACCTACAAAAGGTTAAGAAACCAGGCTCTAAGGCAGAATTTCCCAAAAGGTGGTTCTTCTAACTTGGGCTGCCGCGGCATGCCATCTGCTGCCATACGAGCCTCCGATTGAGGCTGTCACGAGGGCCGAGCCGTTCCTCCCTGCCCAGGGCTCTTTGAGCTCTCTCCTGAACCAGGGAGAAGGTCTCTGTCACATGCTGCCGGACTTTGACACCTCCAACAGGAGAGGATTCTAGCTCAGAGCCTTCAGCAGGTGTAAAAAACAAAAAACAAAAAACCCACAAAAACCCAAACCAACCAACTAACCAAACACCCAGACAGAGGCCTTATATTTTAAAAATGATCTTCAAAGGTGGTCAAAAAGAGACAACTTCAAGGTTTAAGTTCTGGGGAGGTGACCTACCGCATGGTGACTATAGTTAATAGTGCTGTACTACATATTTGAAAACTGCTATGAGAGTAAATCTCAAGTTCTCATCACAAGAAAAAACGTTATAACTATGTAAGGTGATGGATGGTAACTGAACTAATTGTGGTGATCATTTAGCAATACACATATGTATCAACTCATTACGTTGTACACCTTAAACTAATACATGTTGTAAGTCAATTATATCTCAATACAAGGGGAGAAAAATTTTAAATTAAAAAGTACTGGAAATACCTTCACTGTATTTTTTTTTTCCTGGATACCTTTCTATCACAGCAAATGATACTGGTTTTCCATTTATCGGGGGGAAACAAAGCTTGCTTCTGAAGTGCCTTTGGGTTAAGTTAGAAAAAGCCAAAGCAAAAGCATATGGATCTGGGCGAATCTGTGGGACACATGGGCCTGGCCTCACTGCCTCTCTTCTGAGGGGATCAACTGGAGGGTCAGAGAGAGTCTGGGACCTGCCCGAGTTTGCAGAGTTAAGACACCGAGAGAACGTCACCTGACTCTCAGGAATGCTCATGTATTGCCTCTGAGGTGGGGTGGGATGGGGTGGGCACGCAGGTGTTCCAGGTGGGGGCCTGGGAAAGCGGGGCACAGAGAGAGGCCCCCACGGTCTGGCCCCTCCCTCTCCTCGCTGGCCACTCGCTGCCCAGCCCAGCCCAGGCTTACCTCCACCATTTTTGTAGCAGAGGTACGGGAAACGCCAGACGTTGCCCAAGCCGACAAAGCCGCCAGCCACGGAGAGCACAAAGTCGATCTTGCTGGACCACTTCTCCCTCTGAGGGGGCTTCCCCTCGGCCTCATCTTCGGGCCGCGTGCCTGGGCTCTTCCCTGGGGATGGCTTCAGGATGTCTTTGTGAAAGTCTTTCAGACACTGCAGCTTCTCCTTGGTGGCCATGTCCTCCTCGCTTTCTGTGAGGGACAAAACAGAAGCCAGCGTGCGCTCAGTAAGGGATGGCCTGTTCGTCTTCGGCACATCTCTTTTCTCACCCATGGGCTGGTGGGCTCTGACCAGCCCAGGCCTGTGGCGAGGGGCCTGCCATCCCGTCTGTCCACGGCTCTGACAACAACCCGAGTGATTCGGACCCCTCTAGGTGATCAGGGTCCTCGAGATTCAGGAACTGATCGGTTCCGCTCCCCAGGCACCTGCTCAACAGAAGCGCAGGGACCCCATGCCCGTCATCCCCACATGTCACATCGCATTCTATACCCGCAGGCAGAGAAGCATGAAGCCAACCCTCCCCCCCACCCCCCCGACCCTGGCATCATCTCTACAAAATATGACACACTCTGGGCAACTCTAAGGTAACTTCCCAATAACAGACTGTCTGCATTTTCTAGCAACGAGCAGATACCGTCTCTGCATCTCACATTTGCCTAGAAAATGATGGCTCCCATTTCATTCAAGACTCAGCACAGTGCCTGGCCACAAGAGGTGTTCGTTCCGAGCTTTTAAAGAATGGATAAACATAAGTGAATAAGGAATGGGGTTTCAGGCTGAGGTAGGAACAGTATTTGAAAAGGAGGTTTCCACCAAAGTATGAAAAATGGGTATTTATGAAACATATTTGCAATTCATTAACCAGTCACATCTCTGCACTGTGAGGATTATGGAAGAATGCAGGTGAATCTTCCTTTGTCCATCCCTCTCTATCCACTCTCTGGCTTGCTCTAACCCGTATACCATCCAGGCTCCTTTGCCCTCTGACTCCCTATTGGGGTCAGCAATGCAAGGGCCCAGAGGAGGTCGAGTCTCCAAGCCTCCAGGAGCTGTTCAGGATCACCCTTAGCCCACCCCTGCTTAGGAAGGCTGCCACCAGCCAGGGCAGAACATCTCCTTTCTCTACTTCTCAGGTTCCCGAGTCCTAACCGCAACCCCCCCCGCCCGCCCACACACACACCTCGGTCTTGAGGGCAAAAGCACATGAGTCACAGCCCAGGGGGAGAGGGTGCCTTTGAGGCTTTATCCCTACATGGCAGAGGCCACGGGAGACAGCTGAGCTGGGGGAGCCAGAGTTAGTGGGCCTACCCACCCCTCCCTGAGCCTCACTTTCTTCATCTGCAGAATAAACAGCTTGAAAGCAAAGGCGACCAACTCATAGTCAAACAGCCTGGGGTACTACTTGTCTTCATGATCCAAACCATTGGCCGATACTGAAATAACAGAGGAAAGTGGAGATTTCTAGGTTTTTTCAAAACATGTGAAGGGCGTCGGGCCACACTGGGTTCACACTCCTTATGGGTTCCATCAGCTGGACCAGATGCAGCCCCGTCACCCGGGCACACCCGGGCCAGCTTGCCACCCGGCTCGCGGGATGTCTCCAGTGGGGATCTGAGTCTACCTTGTCAAAGTGCTTAGCACCACCCGATCATGTCTTGCTCGAGTCCTTGCTTCCTTGTTAACAGTCTCCCCCTCGACTGACAAGAACAGAGGCTCCGTGGGGCAAGGACCTGTCTTATCTACTGCTGTGCCCAGAACCTGGAGCGCAGGAGGAGAACTGATGCGTAATGGTGCTCAGGGTGGGGTCTGCAAGCAGCTGCTGCTAAGTACAAACCCCAGGTCTGCCACTTCCCAGCTCTCTGACGCCAGCCATGTCGCAGCCTCCGCGCCTTGCCTGGCGTAGGTGGCGGTCGGGGCAGGGCGAGGCGGGGGCCGCCTGCGGACCTGGGGTGTGCAGAGAGAAGGTGCACTGGCCTGGCCCCAGCAGCCGGGCCCGCAGGGGCCTTGCTTGGAGGAGCACAGGCACAAAAGCACAACAGAATCCCCATTTCCCCCACGCCTCCTTCCTCTCCCTGGCTCGGGGTGGGGGACCCTGATTGTTTCGCTATCTGGCCATGAGCAGACCAAGAAAAGGCTTCCTGGAGCCGCCGGGCGCTCGCTGAGCCCTTCCTCTGTCTCCTGGAGCCCAGACTGGTGGCGGCATCCGCACAGCCTTTCTTTGCCCTGCTCCCTCGAGGCGACGTGGGGGTCCGGCCGGGCGTATGGCTACTGTAAAAATAGCCCCAGCGGCCAGCATTGTTCCAGCATTAATATGTGCAGCCCCCGATGGTTATCTGGGCAGCCCATTGTGGGCCGGCTGGATGGGAGCATAATTGGAGGATGTGGGACTCAAGTCCCTCCTAGTGAAGATGTTTTTCAGGGAATGACCCCTGAACCTCCTCACCAAGAGGGTCGGTTCCGCCCTTTCAGGCTCTCCTTGGATCTCGGGGCTGCAAGGCACTTCACAAGGTCAGACAGGAGGAGGGGGGAGGTGGCCGGCTTCTGCCCACATAGGCAGCTGGGATTGGCGAAGGTTCTTCCCCACTAGGACACCAGGAGCCAGGGTCTGCTTCCCTGTGGCTACGCTGAGAGTCCTGGCTCTGCCCTCTGGGCCCCGAAACCAACCGGCCAGGCTGGCGCTCAGAGAACCCTGCGGAAACGCGGGGATGGGGGTAGCAAGTTCCATGAGACCCTCTGCTCTGGCCTCTGGTTTCCCACGAGGGGAGACCTCCAGCCCCCTCTCCACTCAGGACCCCATCTTCCCAACGCCTGTGGCTGAGCCGGGATGTGGGATGGGACTTGAATGGGGCAGAACTGGGGCTTGTAACGCATCTGGCATTATGGGGGTGTCCCTGCTCCTCATCCCAAGTGCATCGAGGGATGGGTTCTTCTGTTACATCACCTGTCTCATCCACGGCTGCCACGAAACAAGCCCACGTGCCCTTCAAGAACACACAGCCAGCAGCCCTACCTCTGGCTCCCTCCCCACCAGGTCGTGGGCCATGGCCTCACCCAAGACTCACTCACTCATGCCTCTCAATGAGGCCAGATCCAGAGGCAGGCATCCCACCTCCCTCTCAAGGGACTTCTTCCAAGCCCCTCGGGGGTGTCTGACCAGCCCCATGCCTGCATAAGCCCACTGCAGAAAGCCCCTTGGCTTCTGCCTCCTGTACATTCCTGGCATCCACCCACATCTCTCTGTCACCATGGCAACCACCACCGTCGGGGCCCTGACAGCTCTTGCCTGGGCATCCACGGCAACCTCCTCCCAGGTCTCCCTGCTGCTACACTGTACCAACCCCCCACAAACTGTTCTCAGCACAGCAGCTGGGGGCAACGTCTAGAGCATAATCAGTCCAGAATGCACCCCCCACCCCCAACCTTCCATCACTCCTGGAAGAAAACACAAACTCCTCACCGCAGCCTCGCCCCCATCTCCCCATTCTCCCCTCTCCTTGGGACACTGGCTCCACAGAACTGCTTTCGTCCATCCCATGCCTCAGGCTCAGGCTCCCTACCACAGCTGCTCCGAGCCCTCCGGTGGCAGCCTGACCCCTGCAGGAACTAGAGTGTGAGCCCTCGCCGAGAAGCTGACAGCCACTTCCCGGCTCCGTGTCTTCAGGCAAGTCACTCAACCTCTCTGATCCTTAGTGTCCTCATTTGTAAGACGGGGCTAATCATGCCCACCTCATGGGGATGATGTAAGGACTGAATGGTGGGGGGCGGGTGTGTGTAGAATGCATGGAAAGTACTTAGAACAGCATTTGGCAAGTAGCAAGTACTCCTTAAATATTACTGTTGTTACTGCCATAATTATCGGGGCCCACCTTGACCTTGGGGTATATAAGGCCTTAGTTCTACTCAGGGTGAGATCAGCAAGGCCCAGGGAGGCCAAACGACACTCCTGAGGTCATACAGCTGATAGTAACAGTGACCGAAACGTGCCTGAACCTTCAGCTCTGACCTACCCCTCTGTCAGCCCGGCCCCACCTCAGACACCACCTTCCCTGGAGTACTACCATCCATCTCCACGGACTCATGATGAGGCCCACCAATTCCCACCTGTCACCCCGCAGCGGCCTGCCCCCCCCAACCCCGTGCAGTAAGCACTTAGGAAGAAGCCCCCCCAGGCGCTCCAGCAGCCTGCTGCCTTGCCGGCCGCCGCCGCCAAGAACTGTTTTCCTTGGCGCCAGGCCCAGGGCTATTTTGTAGCGACCGTGATACATAATTCCCCATTTTAAGAGCTTCCTCTTTGGTTATTACAGCGAGAAGCGATTAGAATAAGCATCAGAATCAGCCCTGATACAGAGGCTCCAGGATGAAGCCTCCCTCCTTGGCCAGCTGAAGTTCTCCTTGTCTCTCTGCTCCAGGGGTCACGGCCAGAACTGGCTGTGCCTGAAGACCGACCTGCAGATCACCTGGTCAGCTTTGGCACGTCCGTGGACAGATCCAACCTGGTGCCGGCAACACGTGCCAACAATGCCAAGGATTGGTTTCTCCCCGATTTACAACTACCAGATTTTTTGGTATTTACTTTGTGCTTAGCTGTCAATAAATAGTGTTCTATTTACTCCTCAAAGAGCCTTATTGTGGAAGGGATTTTTAGTACTGTTTTACTGATGAAGGAAGTTGAAGCTCAAGCAGGGAAGTGAGCGGCCTGCCTCATGCTAAGCACCCAGGAAGACTGAAGTCAGAACTCCCATCTTGATCTGCCCAATGCCTAGGGCACCAGAGCAAAGTTTAGAAAGGAGGAGGCCTCTGTGCTGTTTGCAGATGGGGATGCTAAGGCCAGAGGGAAAAGGAATGCAGAGGTAGAGCAGGGTAGGGCTAGGGACTGGGTATCCTGCCCACATTCCACGCCCTCCCAACCCCCCTGGCCCCAGGTGCCCACACACCAGCCAGCTGGATCTTGAATCAAGTTACAGACCCTGCTGTGGCTGTGTCCCCCAGCATCTGCCACCTCAGTCCAAGGCTGTGGGGAAACCAAGCCCTTGCCTCTTTTTCCTGGATGAGCTGCCGGGAAGCTGGGAAATTTTCACCCTCCCCTGCAGAACTTGAACCTTCTCAAGTAAAAACAATCAGCTTCCCACAAGAATCTCTCTGGAAAAGAATGATTTAAATCTCTCGTTGTCCCTGACTTATCCACTCACGAGCTTCTACAAGGTTTCCAAAATAAGAAGGCAGGTACTTCACTGTTTCCTCTTTAGAATACCTCCCATCCCAAAAGTACTTAGCACACAGCCTCTAAGATTCATCTCTGGGCCTCACTGGACAGTTAGTGTTTCTCAGCAAACCTCTGGGGGTTAGGTAAGTGGCTCCTAGAAACCCAGGGGAGCTCTGGATGACCCAACTATTTTACAGCTGGGGATACCGGAGGCCTGGACCGCCCTGTCCTGTTGGGCTCTCTACGGAATCAAGCATTCCAGAGCAGGGCTTTATCCTCTCCTTTCCTCATTTCTCTGCCCACTCCAGAGCCAGAGTTCTGGACTCACTGAGGCCACAACCCAGCTGTGTGACCCGGAGCAAGTAACAACCTCTCTGTGCCTCATTGGTTAAAAGAACTCACCGCACAGGGATTAAATAGGATGATGACTGTAAAATGCCCAGCACAGGGCCTGGTACATACAAAGTGATTAATAAATATTAGCTATTATTGAAGAAAATAGCTGACCATCTTGGAATTTTATTAATACTGGGTGGCAGGCATCATAGCCTCAGTGTTTTAAAAAAGAGGAAAAAAGCAAGCTGCATCTATTAAGCGATGACTACAGGCACATTTATTTAGCACTGTGCTAAGGGCTTTGCAAGCATTTTCTTAGTCAATCCCCTCTCTGGGAGCCATTACCATCCCTGTTTTGCTGACAAGGCCTGGAGAGGTGAAGTCACTTGTCCAGAATCACACAGCAAGTAAAAGGCCGCTGGAGTTTCAAATGGCTCCCAGGTCTGGTTCGGCCTCAATCCCATGTTCTCAAGCACTCGGCTGTTTTGCATCACCTGCTTTAGCAAGCTGACAAAGTGACATCAGGCCTGGTGCCTTTAAGTTAGCTTCAAGCCGCTGGACTGGACACATCAGAGAAGTAGGTGATGGTGGACGGGGAAGTGAGGAGCCACAGGATACAGAGGTGACAGGGGCCCAGGGCCCTAGGGACGGGCTGGGCAGGCTGATGAAGTGGCATCGATAGCCAGGACACATGGCACTCTGGACCAGAGGCTTCCTCCAGCAGCCAGGGAGAGCCTCCCAGACTTCTCTGATAGATCCAAAGGGGCTCCTTCCAGCGCTGTGTCCACAAACTCCAGGCAAGGGACAGGCTCAGTGAGTAGGAGGGCTGGGATCGATTAGGAATGTCTGCCAAGGGCATGCTCCTTAGGTACCATCCTGGCCCTAGGAAGCATTTAAAAATTAAGCACAAAAATAAATAAATAAGCACCAAAATCCAACCAACCAACCAAACAAAAACATGAGGTGTGGTAAGAGCACTATTTTACCCTGGGCCTTAAGGGTAGCTGTTTTTGAAGAGAAAGTAGAAATGAATCAAAGACAGTTTTTTGTCTTTCTCATAAAAAGGTACACCTTTAAAAGATTTAATCATTGGCTTGAATCATGTGGTCTGTATCCTTCTGTCTTGTTCATCTGTTTGTATCTCGGGATCACTCATGCCTGAAAATCTCAATAGCCTTCAAGGGCCTGGCAGGCGAAAGACAGGGTACAGTGGGGAGGCCTCAGGGAGGAGGAGGGTCTGTGGCAAACAGGAGTCCGGGTTCCAGCCATGGGTGGCTCTCCTCAGCTCCCGTTGCCTTACCTACATTTTCTAATTTCTAAAACATTGTGTGGCCCAAACACAAACTATTGGCCTTGTTTGGGCACACCATTACCCCAGGTCACCCAAGGTGGCCACAGCAAAGGGCAGGGCAGGCTTGCCTGGAGATGCTGACCAGCCCAGCCTCACGGGCCCAACGGCTCGCCCCAGTGAGGTCATCCAGGAAGTCTGGCATTGTTTTGCCCGGAACAAAGCCGAACAATGAGCAACCACATTCTGATCCTAGTGAAAGTGAATTCTGTTTGGGGAATTGTTTTTCGCATGACATCTCTGGGGACAGGGCTTGTGATCTACATGGGGTTCAGTGTCTTCCCCTCCCCTGATCTAACTGCAAACCCCCCACCCCACAAAAACTCAGGTGTACCCTCAGAGACCCCTCACTTCTGCTGAGAGCACCTTGCCTGGAACATGACCGGCCCTCAACCCACGTCCAGTATCGACTTCTCCCCAAGCCTCACAGAGCCTCCCCCTTCACAGCTCAGGGTACTACAGCTTGGAGAAGGGGAAGGTCTGGCCCAGATCACACAGCCACGAGGCAGTGGGTCAGGATTTGCACCCAGACCCTGCCTCCATGCCCCCAGAAGGAGGTAACCTCTGGACAGGGACCTACCAGAACGAGTCCTACTTCTCAGTCTGTGGTTTACAGAGGAAAAAGTGGGTGAAAGTGAACAGGTTTTGCATAGAACTGGCCTCTGGGACAACACTGGTGGCAGGCAGGATGTGGGCCCAATGTACTGCCACCTTATGTTCTTCTCACAAAAACATTTACAGGTAAAAGGTCTTGGGGACTGGGTCCAAATATTTTTCTTATCTTGGAGGTGGCAGGCTCTGACCCAAAGCCCAGAGAACCACAGGCAGTCAACAGAGATGAAACAAAAAGAAGACATGCAAATGGCGTGGGGGTGGGGAGGAAGAAGGCGCCAGGCTAGGCTGGGGGAGGGGCAGAGTGAAGAGGGCAGGATGGCCAGGTGTGGCCCCCGGGGGTGGGGGTGGGGTGAAGGCAAGCAGGGCACCCACCATGCACAACACAGAGGCGCCCTGGGCAGAGCACCGGCCAAGCAGGCCAATGAGTCAGGGCAAAGGGCAATGGACTAGGGGTCAAAAGGCTGGGCCTAGTTCCGGTTCCACTGGGTCACGTGGGCCAAGTACTGCCCCTTTGCACCTCGGATGTCCAGGGTCAAAAATAGAGCAAGGGCAGCTCTGGCAAGCAGGGACTACTGAATAAACACTTACTGAGAAGCTACCCTACTAGGTGCCAGGAGCTGGTCTAGGAACCAGGGGCAGGGAGGTGAGCCCCCAGGAGCTGATGTTCCAGAAGGGGAGGTAAATATTTACAAGATAGGACCAGCATGCAGAAGACAACCAAGTGGGATGAGATGTAGGTGACAGGGACCAGGAGCCAGTGAGGCCCCTCTGAGGAGGTAAGGTTTCACTGCGGGGGCAGGCCTGGCCCTGAGCAGCAATTTCTTTATTCTTCTCAGCAGCGTGGATGAAGGAAGGAGGCCCAGAGAAGGGAAGCCACTTGCCCAAAGCCACACAGCTGGGATCTGAGCCCAGGCAATGGGCTTCAGGGTCCGTGCTTTCAACCACACTGAAACTGAGGTCTGTGTGGCAAACAACTGGGGGAATGGTGTTCTCAGAGCAGGGAATGGTGTGTACCAAGAGGGCCACACTGGCCCTGGTAAAGGAACAGAGAGAAGGCCAGTGTGGGACGGAGAGCAAAGGGAAACAGGGCATGGGGTGACCTAGAGAGAAGGCCGGGTCTGGAGGCCAGGATTAAAAGCTGTATTTAGCCAGAGGCTGGTGGGAGCCCCTGGAGAGTTTCGTGCTCAGTGAGGACTCCACCGTGTGGCTCCAGCCCCTGACTTTTCCTGACTGTCTGGCCAACTTCTCCCTTCCACCCTGGAGGGGGATTCAAGGACCCATGCCAGGCTTTTCCCTGTAAGCTGTTGCTAATGGGGACTCTCCAGTGGGGGCCTGGGAACCCCGAGTCCTTATCCCGGGCACCCCAGAGCCACCCAGCCCAGTCATGTGCTGAGCGAGTACCTGGGATGCATGAACAAAACAAACTTTTTCTTTTTTCTTTTTCCCCCAAACTTCTATTGAGCGCCAGCCACAAAGCCAGGGCTGGCTGAAGGAGGCTGCTGTTCTTTATAAAGAGGAATCAGCCAAGGATGGGTGGCGGGACCTCCTCCCCCGTGGCCAAGGGCCACACAACCAGTGCCACAGAGAAGAAAATACCCTTGTGTACGGAGTCTGGACCCTCACCTCTGCATAGGTGAAGTCCATGGGCTTGGGAAGAACAGGGTCAGCCTCTGATCCTAACCTGGGGGAGTGGGTCAGGCACTTACTCACCTAGGGGAGTGGGCAGGAAAAGCCCCAACTGTCCCATGGTAACTGAGCACCTACTACCCTGCTGGCCCAGGGCCACTGCAGGGGGATTCAAAGTCACCTTCCTGCCCTCACGGGGCTAATGTCCAGAGGCAGAGGGGAGGGGCTCGTTTTGTCAAAGTAGCCCAAAAACTATTCTGCAAGTTCAGATGCATCTGGTCAAGGGCGAATGAGAGGAGCTTCAAGGAGCAGGCCCCCGACACCCTCCCGGCTGGGTCCCGCGGCCTGGCTGGGCCTGGACTCCCGGAGGACGCAAGAGTTCAGGAACAGTCCGGCCTCATGGACTCTGTCTGAGCCGGCTCAGCCTCCAAATGCCACTTAGGGAGATTTCCAGCATATGCCGTCACAACTAAAGCTTAGCTAAAGGAGGAAGTAGGGAGAGAGGGGAGGGCCGCCATGCTGCCTAAGGGGGGCCCTCAAGGGCCTGTACTGGTGCACAGGGCAGTGAGTCAGCAGGCAACGGTCTCCCGGCACTGAGTCACCAGCCACAGCCTGTCACTCTCCTCCTGTCGGCTTCCCCAACACCCCAGCCCTCAGCCTGGTTTGGCCGGAAGTGGGGGGGGGGGGTAGGGTCGACCATGGTCCCGAGGCAGGCTCTGTAGGACCCAGGATTATTTCTGGAGGTCACCAAAAAAGAGACCTATGAGAAAAAAGAAAAGCTCAGTTTCCATTTCCTCGGACTTCCCTCACTGGTGGTGAAAAGCAAACAGGGCGGCCCCTCCCTAGCTCTATAGAAACTTGGAGAGAGATAGGCCCTCAGTGACAAGGCCAGCTAAGGGCACGCCTGTGGCCCAACACCCACTCAGAGCCAGTCACCTCCAACTCTGTCACCAGGGCTCTGCCGGAAGTCACATCTCCATGGAAACAGTGAAAGCACTCTTTGCTAAACGGCCTGGGAAAGTCACCTCTCTCAGCCTCAGTGTTACCATCTGTAAGATGGCCATAATCTCCCATCTACAGTGCGTGAAGCCTCCTCGCTCATTAAATGTATGTAAACAAGGTCCCTGCTATGGTTCCTCTTTTAAACATGTCTCTACTCAATGAGGAAGGACCTTCTTCCTTCCTAGCTGCACCCATACCTCACCCTCACTTAGAAATTTAGCTCAAGGGTTGTTTGCCTGTGGAACAAAGCAGGTTGGGATTTAGCAAGACTGAGCGGTGATGATCAAATAGCAATGTCTGCAGCCGGCGCCCCCTTTCAGAGCAAAGGGGCTTGTTGCCTGGAATTTCCTCCATTTATCTGGAAGTCAAGTCTCAGGTGTCCTCCACCATCTGAAGCCCCTCCACCACCTGAGACCCCCCAGGGGCTACCAAACCACACACACCCCAGGCTTTCTCACGCCTCCATGCCTTGGCTCATTCTGTCCTCCTAGTCTGGCACACTGTTCCCCAAGTAATGCACAGGCAATCCTCAAGCGATCCCCTAGGACAATGGCCCTGAGGACTCCCCAGTGCCTTCCTTGGGCTCCGTGGGTCACACCACCTCTGTCCCCATGCTCAGCAGCCCATACTGTAATTGTGGGCCAGCTTCCTGACAGCCAGTAGAAGGCCCAGCACTATCAATATTCGTCAAACAGAAGCTTTAGGGCTCACAACCCTGGAGACACTCAACATCGGGGTAAACGTGTGCTACCTCAGAGCTGCGAGGGCCCCTCGGCTCGGCACATAGAGCAAGGACAGCGGCGGACGCTAGGACCGGGCAGGGCTGCCGACAGAGTAAGGGTGAGCCGGACATCCTCTCCGGACAGGGGCTGTGTCCCCGGCAACTGAGCACAGTTCCCCCCAATGGTCAAAACTCTACAAAGCTTCGCCCTCTTTTGATAGATGAGCCCTAAACCTTCAGGAAATCACTTTTCATGAAATAACGTGTTCCCTGAGCATGTTCCAAAACGGACCTTGAAGTGAATGCTCCTCGGTCTCCTAAAGGTTTGCCAGGTACTGCTGCAGGCTCCTCGTGGATCCTGCACAAAAACTGCAAGGCACGAAGTGGGGGCCTTAGGGTATCGGCGCATGCAAATGCAAGCCCACTTTCTAGATGAGCAAACTGAGGCCCTGGACCCGTACCAGATGAACAAGAGCCACCAGCCTCTTTCACAGCTGGGCCATCAGCACTGAAGGAACCTCGTTTCGGAGGGAAAAGCGAGGTCGGAGGGAGGTGATGGAGGGCAGGGAT